CTCTCTCTTTCTCTCTCCCTCTGTCGCTACCGGACACTAAAAGATACATTGGAAGAGAACATTGCCGGCGCGTTGCAACGAAGCAAGTGCACTTCTTTTGTCATCTCCTTCCGCCAATATTTTAGCAGCGACAGTACACCGAAGTGCACCTCATGTACAAGTAATTTCCGGTCCTATCGACCGGGGCATGTCTCTTAAAATCGGCACGGCGATCGAGGGCTCGTCGCGCGCGCGCTCCGCGTAAGTGCGTCAATATTTTCCGTGCACTCGCCGTCGCAGATCGAATCGCGCGCGGGAGTGCCACGAAAAATTCGGACAAAGCTTCGCTCGCGAACGCGCGTGTATCGCTAATTCGATCACGCGTGTGCGATTGGCAGACGCGAAGCGCAATTGTGTATGACGGCGATGTGCGTCGCTTCATTGAATTCAGACCTTGCTACCTGGTAATATGTTTCAGGCATATGTTGCCGCATTGCTCCGGGGAAATTATCGAATTTGCACCAATTATCATCATGAATCCTTCCGGGTCACGCGCGATATAGGCGGGCAATGAAGCGTAATAATCTCCGATTTACGACGGACGATGATTTTCGTTCGGATTTACTGCGTATTTATCACGATTTACTAGTGAGAAGCAAATCGTCGTTCCTGCGTTCAAACTTTCGCTTTTCGCCGTTTTTTTCTTTTCTTTTTTTTTTTGTTTAATTGGTTTCTCTGTCGCGCGACCGAATGGACGGAGTGTCACTAAGACTCTTAATTGGTATATTGATTTTCCGCGACAATCGGCGAGGTGATTTAATTGAAACTTACCGATCGGACGGAGAGAGCTACGTCCCGTTGAGTAAATGAATTCTTAATATTGTGAATATTTTATGCGATCAACGTCTATTATGCACTGCACTTTAATTTAAAACACATTCCTGATAAAACTGATGTAACGGAATTAGTAGAAGAGGAAGCTACTCATTTCGAGCTACTCCCTCTGGTATTTTCTATTTCCTCCTTAATAACGAGTTAATTGTGGAAAACGGATATCCAGAATGCGATGAAAATTATCGCTTATAATAATAATTACGTACACGAAATTTGTCGTATAAACTTGTGAAAAAATATAGCAACAGGGAAAATCCCTCTTGTCATGACGTCAGAGAGGCACGCCCATCCCTTAGCTCAGTTTATCCGTCGAAACCTTATAGTATTGGCTTCAATTAACGTTTACGCGGCTATAATTACGTCCGCTGAGGGAATCATCGTGCAACTATCGTTTTTATTTTATAACCAATAAACTCCGTATCGTCAACGCAGGCAAAGATAGCCGGACATTAAGAGTCAATTAACTGTTTTATCGTCTATCATCATATAAATATATATGCCCATGCCCATAACCATAACACAATACGGTTATGTACCGATACAAAACGAGCACCCACCGCGACGATGATTATCAACTACCGCGGTGCTCATCGTCGGCCGTATGATGATCATATATAATCTATTTACGTTTATACAATTATACGATCCGCCTATCCTATGTAATTCTTTGCAACTGAATGTTCAGCTGAGCTAGCAAGCTCCGATCGAATAAATATTCATCGCGATCAAAGGCGAAACGCAGAAATATTATTTATGATCAATAAGCTTGCTGCAGTAAGCGAGACCTGTCGAGACCTGAGTATGTACGATTCATTATCGCGAAGAAACAGCTTTAATTCTCAACTGACTCGTCGGACGGAGTTATCGCGAAACACGTCTGTTGACCTTTCCAATGCGTCTTATGAGATTTCAGGCGCGATTGTTTTATCGTTGCAGCCCTTTAAGAGTAAAACTCTCTCAGCATATCTCGACGATCAGAGTAGCCTTATCTAATCTCGAGAAGTAGCCGATCGATTTTTTAACATATACGCTAGAATAATTGATAAACGATGGCCTCCTCATCAGGAGCGGAATAATCGACTTGTCGAATGCAATTTATTTCGCGTCGCTGCCCGACGTTTCTGCCCGAAGACACCGGCATAGCTAATCAATTCCAAACGGAGACCGAGACCTGCCGATTTGTGCGTTGCTCGTCTTTTTCTTCTTCCTCTTTTCTTGTTAATCGACTATACCGCCCCGACGACAGAAGTGTCAAGTGAACGGTATGAATGTATTATAATGCCGTCGCTCGACGGCAAAGGACCGCACGCGGCTTTTGAGAGAACTTCAAACGCTCGTATCTCGGTGAAAAATCAACGTACGAATGTGAAACAGACGTCATTCCACTCGGCATTTTCCACGATACGGTCGTGGAATGCGCTTTCGTCACGATGCATATGATGTATATTAGATTACGACGCGCGGTGTGTGCGCTATGTTGTTGTGCGAGCGCTAGAATACATTTAAATACGAAAATAAAGTATACCAGGTATTTCTAACGCATACGCAGTATAAGATTTCGCGTGTGCTTTGTTTGACAGGTTTCCGTATAATTCGTCATTCCTTTTCTTTTCCAATTTGCTGTTGATTAATACACGATTGCGAAAACTCGGTCAAGAATTGGTTGCCGGTGTTAGGACCGAGTTTCTCACTCGGAACCTGAGCTCGTAACCTGAGCTAACTGACTGTCAGTAACGAGCCAGTTTCGAAAATACGAAAATGTAAAAATGTGTTGCTGGTACGGGCCGATCGTTAAATTCTACTTCTCGAGTAGGTAAGAGCACCTGATAATAGATCGCAGCTACGGCTGCAGCTAACATCGTGCTATCAGCCATTTCTTACGAGCGCGCGATTGCCAAGGTCGATTATAAGCATCGGCTTCTTCGTGTATGGGATTATTCCGATTCTGATAAGATATCGCGATCTTCACAACAAGACCGATCGTATCGAACTATTATTTATTGACAATGTTCAAGGTTTTACTCACCGCAAGGAGAATCTCGAGAGATCTCTTTCCTTCGGTTTCCCATTCCTCGGAGGAGAGAACACGATTCCGTCGTAAAATATTTCGGAGCTTCTCGTTTCTCCGAAGGATGATACATGGTCGAGGGTAAAAGTCGCGAATATGATGATTAAAATTGTTTTATTAAAGTACAGGGGAATGTAAAATTTAATTTGGATCTATAAATTCGCGCTTATTTGCTATTCGCTTAGATTAAATGAAAGGGAGCCAAGTATCATAAATTTCCTCTCATTTAGATTACACACGGTGATACGAAATTAGGTTAACGACAGCCTTTCTTTCTGCTGCACTATGACCTCTTCGTGCAGCAACAGGCAGCGGTACAAATTACACGTGACATAATGAGACACCGAGAATATGTGCATTTTTTTACTCCGTATACTCGTCGCACGTTAACAATATTTTTACGTTACCACATTTTTCATTTACCACAATTTAATTTCTCTATCGCGCTACGAGTATCCGCCGAGCGCGATTCTATGATAATCTTTTCGAACGTTCGTAAACAAGAATATCGACGTATGACTATGACGACAAACGACGGGAAGCTAACGTAGTTTAGGGAAGGGTTAATACCATAATGCGCGTATACACACGTGGATTGAGCGCACATCCCCCTCTTCGTATATATCGATATCGATATTCTCCAAGCGACAGTAGTCGTCCTGCAGCATCTCGCGCATAAAGTGTGGATCGAATGAACAAACGGCCATGCCAAACCTCTGTTGTTTCCTCGTAAGCCGCTTACATAGCTATTGTTGTCACGTTTACATCTGTCTCGATCACGCTTCTGACATGGTTAAGTGCGATATTGCGTTGTGTTATTGGACATAGCCATGTACTAGCCGTTCTCGTTTCTCTTGTTTACTGGTCACGCCCGATTTTTGTTCCTCGCCAGCGTCATTCTTTCTCCTTTATTCTACATGAAGCGTACGGCTAAATAAAACTAGCGCAAGAACGCAAGGAAGGCTGTCCCGCAAGATGATCTCGCTGGATTATCACCGCGAAACGGGAGCCGGCTTGCATGTTTATTCATAAGGAGCCTATGCTAATTGTTGTATTATAACTTTCGTGTCGAACTTTGACGAACGAGAGAAGAGCATATGTGGGAAACTGTGAGTCGCAAATTAATAAAACTTCGAGCATCAACGGATTTGTTAATCATGCTTATATCCGTCAAATTTCCTTCTCTCTTTCTCCGGAGAGCACATTATCGTTTCCGTCGCGCCATCTTATCGAGAAATGAATCCCGCGCTTTTGTCTTAATTATTAATGCCCAACATGAACAATCCTCTGTTCAACAATCGCCCGGACAAAATCTGAGATTCAAGAGAAAATGCGTCGTAAAATCGCAGGTCGTTTATCGTCGTGCATTACCGATGGATATTAATGCGGGATAATAATTAGCATAGCCGAGTGATCACTGTGCTATATCGAGCGGTGTCGAGATTAACCTCGGAGTGATTAGACGTAGAGCTTACTTCGTCATAGCGAGACGTTATTTTGCGCGCGTCGAGCAAGTCTGTGCGAAATTTTGCCGTATATTTAAATCGACACGTGGCAAAACCATAGTAATTGTAACAAACGGTGGGCGGACAATTATTCTTTTCTTCTTTCTTTTATCTCTCGTACTACCTACCGTAGAATAGAAATATAATTGCGAAACAGAGAGACGGAGAAAATCACATCGGCTTTGCTCTAAATTACGTACCTGCACGGTACAAAGCGGGAAGCTTTCGGTATTAACGATTATTCAAATTACGAGTGTAAGCTGCGTGCAAGAGCACGAGTTGTTCATATATTATTTGCTGACAAGCGCGAAACCAGCACTGCCAGTGCAATTACAACGGTCGATTCACGTCAAAATCGCACGACACCGTCGCGTTGCATTACACTTTGCAAAGGTAATATCGCAACGCAAAAGTAATATCGACCCTGCCATTCAGCGTGGCGTTTGGCGGTCGCGCGACCAAAGAAAGCACGCACTTTTCGGATTAATATTACTCGGTCGTGACTGCTATTTGCTCGCGGATGAAAGGGAACAAATACGATGATATATACTCACCGAGCAGTGAGGCATCCTCGGCAGGAGAGAATCGCCGCGCGTTGTATATCTATCTAATTCGATTGATTTTTCCGACTCGCGCGTTTCTCGCCTTGCGTCGCACTGCCGAAAGATGCGGAGAGCTTCCACCGCACTCGCACTGATCCGCTCAGATTTTCACGGTAAACTCGCGCGCGATGACTCGACGGAACGGCTCGTAGCGAGCGGCGCACTTTACTTGAAACACGGAAACAGCGACTGACCCGCGAAAGCTCGCCGTTCGCTCAGATATTCGTTGCGAGAAACGACAGAACGTTGTGTGCGTGCTGCGTGCGAAGGTGATACTGTTTATATCGCGGTGATAAGCTCTCGATCGCCTGCAACCGTGGAGCCGGATCGTGGAGACGTAATTATCTATCGCCTTTCCGCACACGTGACGCCTCCGGATTTGAAACTGTGTCGGTCGAGATTATTTGCGCTGTGAAGCTCATTACGGCCCAAAGTCAAGGCTGACCTCGACGCGAGCGCGTAAACAAAAGCATTTGAGCTACACGCGAAATACTCGAAATATTTGCGCAAAAACATTGCGCTTGTCGAGAAATATACATGGGAAGCGTCTTTTTCTACTCAACCGGAGCAAGCGAGCGACGAACGATGCTTCAACTCGGGCTTCTTTCGTCGATATCTCGCTGTGCCATGAAAATGCTCGCGGTTTCAACAATCTCCCCCGAGTGGAGTTTAAGGAACTATACTACTCTACGGCAAATATAACGCGCGATTACGAAACTCTCGCGGTGGCTCGAGAAACTCCACAAGCATGTTAACATCGCGCGATGCGAATTGACAGCAGCAGTCGCTGCACATTACGCCGCGCCGATATTTTCTCTTTTGCTCTTCGCGCTTCCATCAGTGCATGCATAATGCAAACAGTAATTTGCCCCCGAGACGTTTTCCTCGCGTTTTCTACCTGACGTCACGTTTTCCGCCGGATGCTTCCACTTCGCGACACCAGTTTCGCGCGTTGTCTCCGAATTAATAAGAGACTAATGAGAAACCTTGAGAAACCGCCTACCCCGAACATTCGTAGCTCGTAGCTGCCGCCGAGTGCGCGCGCCCTTACGCTGAGTACTGGTCCATTTACGTTTCCTCGTCAAACTCGTCCAATTATCGCGCGAGCTTGCGAGCCAACCCGTCTGAAACCGTCCGTGATGTGTTCGCGCGTCCAACATCGGGCGCCGTTTCAACGCGACTGCCTTCCTGAGATATATCGTCTCTATATCGTCGGATCTTACGCATGTCCGATTTCCGACTCCCCCCTCCCTCCCTCTCTCTCTCTCTCTCTCTCTCTTTCATGCGCGCACACCCCCGTAACCGGCGCGCGTTCATTTCGAGTTTTCCTCGTTGCACTCGCGCGGCTCGTCTTGTCGATGCGAGTGCGCCTGTCGACTCCCCGCCAACTGTTGCTTTCAGAGTTATACAGGGTGGCTGGAGCCGACCATGCTGCACCTTGAACTCGACGATATAACCCGCTAGACATTTAGGGCGATGACGCGCCCTACGCCATACCATGCGGAATTACGTACATTTTGCATGAGTCAGTTCTCGTGTCATCAACGGTAAGCCTTCTCTGCGAATTGAATCTCGAGAGGCAGTAACGTAGTTTGATCGGACGTGCTCTATTAAATGATAACGGTGTATAACGGAATATTCGACCGCGGATTTCCTCGTGCGTTCCATAATCCGCCACCGAAATTGCGAAACCAAGACGATTGATCGAAACTATTTAACATGTAAGCCAAGTAAGCCAGCGTCGTAAAAATTAATTATCGATGAAGCGATAACTCCGTCATATTACGATGTTCATAAATAACGTTTACCTCGTTTAAGATGCACAAAGGAAAATATATCCGCCATATACTCTGGTTGTATACATATTCTACGGCGAGAGGAGAACGAACGTGAGGAAAACGATAGATCGTTAGAGAGAGAGAGGGAGAGAGAGAGAGAAAGTTAACAACGGCTCGGCACTTTCGTTAAACGATCAGCTTTATAATCAGAAATAGTTAAGGAGCTTATGTGCTACGTTACCGCAGCGAGCGGTGATCAAATTCCTAGTTTGAGCTGTAATTCTCGCAAATACGCACGGCATGTGATATACCGTCGAAACTTTGATCATCAAGCACGGACCAGAGCAAGATCTTGCTCGCGTTATCGTCGAAATTCATTATCTCTACATTTCCCACGGTTTCAGGTCAATTTTGCTCATTTGTCTACTCATGATTCAGCCAGACCCGTTTGACCGAGATTGATTCACAAACATCCGACAGCTTCGTGAGCCTTATACAAACAGACTCCTCGCGCCTAATCAAATTGCGATATCGAAATCCGCCGAGATTGTCGGATTTTATCGTGCTCTGGTCAAATAAATGTTTAATAAACGCTCAACAGTCTCGTCCGCTTTGGTTCTCTCCGCCAAATCAGACTTTGGCAAAAGAGTCGTAGTTGAGTTACTTAAATATTTTCATGCCTTGTGTTAAAGTGTATTTATATATTTCTTGTTACGTCAAAATTAAATAGCCGAAGCGGATATCATCGCGCGTGAGTGAATTATAAGGACCGATGTGAACCTGGCAAGCAACTTGACCAAAAAAAAATTCGCAATACGGTTCAACTGTATTTCGTTTGTACCTGTTTGTACCACTTTTTATTTCGTTTGTACCTCGAAAGATAAAAAGATAAGGAGAGGGGGAAAAATAGCCAACAAGCAAGTATAAGATATCACAAAACGGCCGACGCCAGATTCGAGAGAGAATCGTTTGTACCTGTTTGCACCTCTCTTCAAATCGTTTGTACCTCAGAGGAACTGGAAGTACAGGATCTTCAAAATATGTCGGAAGGTTATTTTCGTGCCGGTCCCTTTGAGGTGCAAACGATTCTCTTTCGGATAGCGTTGACCGTTTTCAGATATCTTATACTTGCTTGCTAGCTATTTTTCCCCCTCTCCCTATCATTTTATTCTTTGAGGTACAAACAAAACAAAAAGTGGTACAAACAGATACAAACGAAGTAAAGGGTGTCCCAAAATTCACGCAAGAAGTAATTTTGATAGAAAACACAGGTTTATAATTAAAAATTGTAAATTTTTTATTGGTTCATAAAGTATACAGTATAGGATTATGTATGGAATAGCATATCGGGTAAACGGCCACAGCGAAGAGAGTTCGTTGAATGGATTATGGAACAACAACGAGTGGATGCTGATTTTTCGAACAAAATCATCTTCAGCGATGAGGCTCATTTTCATCTTGATGGCTTGGTTAATCGACAAAATTGTCGCATTTGGGGTTCAGATGATCCACGAGTGATTGTTGAGAAACAAATGCGTCCACAACGTGTCACTGTTTGGTGCGGATTTTGGACTGGAGGCATCATCGGACCATTCTTCTTCGAAAATGCGGCTGGTCAGGCAATAACAGTTAATGGTGCTCGCTATCGCGACATGATAATCCAGTTTCTTGTGCCTAAATTGCAAGATATGGATGTGGACGACATGTGGTTTCAACAAGACGGTGCCACATGCCATACAGCCCGAGAAACAATTCAATTACTGCATGAGTCATTTCCTGGTCGTGTAATTTCCCGTTTTGGTGATCAGATCATGCGATTTAACGCCATTGGACTTTTTTCTTTGGGGTTTTTTGAAATCTAAGGTTTATGCCAACAAGCCCACGACCACCCACGCCTTGAAGGAGGAAATTGAGCGTTGTATCAACGAAATTCAGCAGAAATTTATGCAAAACGGTCATGGAAAATTTCAACAAAAGAGTGCATATGTGCCAGCAAAGCCGTGGAAGCCATTTACCCGATATGCTATTCCATACATAACTCTATACTGTATACTTTATGAATCAATGAAAAATTTACAGTTTACAATTATAAACCTGTGTTTTCTATCAAAATTACTTCTTGCGTGAATTTTGGGACACCCTTTACAATCGAATCGTATTGAGAATTTTTTTTCTAATTAAGTTGTTTGCCGATGTTTCACATCGGTGTGTAAGGCAAACGCTTAACGAGTCGTTGTGAAGAAATGCTTCCTTCTGAAACCAATATTCAATAATGTCACACTATCAGGTGCTAATATGCGATGGATTCTAGATTGTGATAGGAATGTACAATAATGGACTTCTAATCTGGAAGAATCTTAACGCGATACAATTTGTTCTAAAGATATTTTCGGTTGTATTAAGAGAGACCAAATGACTTCCTTTAGTACTCATAAATAACAAGCGGAATTCAATTAGCTACGGAAATGGAAAGCGTCAGTCACCGTTTCGCTCTTCGACATTGAACGAAAAGAATCAATTGGAGATATATTCCTCTCAGGATAGGCACTTTGTGTGATTGAAAAGAGCCCACGCGTATTCGCTGATCTGCCGACGACGACTGATAATTGATAACTTTGTGCGAATAAAGAAGCGCGATATCAGCGATAACGATAACGCGCTGATTTAATCTAGGGCGATACCGATTTATTAATGGTTATTACACAGCAGCTTCGGGCAAATCAAGATTGTATAGTCGTTGTAAGCCGACCTGTCGCTCGTAAGTTATTACGTTGATGTAATGATGACAATTATTTTAATTAATTAACCCGGGATAATTAATCTGATTACATTGAACAGTCAGAACGCACAATTGCGGTGCATTTCCGTGAATGCAGGGCGGGTTATCGCGAATGTATTATTCGAACAGTGGTTGAAATAACCGAGGAGGTTTCGTTAAGTTTCACGTATATGCGTGTATTCTGAGACTGAAAAAGAATTTGAAGACCACATATCGAGTGATAATTTTACAAACTCGGTACTGTATGAGATTTAGATGTTCCGCAAAGTCGCTGAATCACGCGTGTTTACAGACGCCTGTTTATTCTCACGCATTGGCTAGGCAAACCGTAATCGGCAGATAAAGTGCTATTGATAACGAGTGACTTAGGGGTGAGTCCTTATCCGCACTGATGATCACGCATACACGTAGTACGTTACTTAATATAGCGTATACCTAACTGCGTAGTTGTGAAACTGTGACAAGCTGAATAATTAATGATGAAAAAAGGACGTAACTCACAATTGAGGGAATTAAGTCGGAACGCATTTCTATTTTTTCCTTTTTCTTTCATTTTTCATTCGATGTGCACTTAAAATGCTAGGAGCGATAAAACGAAACCGCTCGTGCAATAAAGGGGAACAGAAGTAAAGAGAAATTTAAGATTCTTCTTTCGATGAACTTCATAATTCACAGTATATTAAGAGTTAGAGAAAAAATTAAATTATTCCCAAGGAAATCAACTATTCTTTCTCCGGTTTTCTCTGAGGAAATTTAATACCAGGCAAATTATTACCAAGTCGATAATTAGTAAGATTGTGCGTAAGTACGATGCAACTTTTATAACACTCGTATTGTCGCTAAACTATCTCATAATGATTAACAATGCGTTAACATTGATTCTGCTGTCACAAGCGATGGGTTTCAATTAATTATAATCGTTAACAACGTTTCACAGAGCATATTGCGTGTAGCATAACTACATAGAGTATAACAATTAACTTCTAACACACAATATTCCGATATTACGAACTCCTCATACGCCAAATTCTATTTTGTACATCGTATCGCTATATTGTACAGACGAAATCGGAAAACGAAAATGGAAATGGCTCGCATGCCTTGATCATTGCGAATAATGAATGTTTCTGATACGCAAAATAACCAGTCGGGTAACTGGGAAACGGATATTAAATCAGTAAATTACACTTATGGTAAATAAATTGTACTATTATATACCGTGCTATTAGTCTGTGTTAGACGGAAAAGAGACGCAATGATCTCGATTAATCTTCCCAAGTGCCAGACGTAAATAAATTCTAACGAATCTCCGTCAGGATTTTGATTTATCTGATTTCCGGAATATTTACGGGACTCACTTTGCAACATATGGCAACCAGCGAGAATTAATACGCGACCTATGGCACACGTGCCAACATGGTTAAGTGCTGTACCCTGTATAACACTCTCGAAAAAAAAAAGATAAAAGTAACAAGTCATTTCAGCAACATCACCTCGTTCGTCACCGATCCCAACGTCAGTATGGCCAATCAGCGATGAATAGCCAACGTTAATTTTCGCAACGCCGAGATTCGACGCCATCGCGTCGAGGTCATAATACTTTCGCTCGCCTTTATCAGCGGATTAGAAGTGCGCCAATATTCATCCAGCGCACGATTCGATGAATTAAACATGGTGCCTCTCTCTCTCTCTCTCTCTCTCTGTCTCTCTCTGTCTTTCTTGCATTGATGCATCCTCGGTAGGCGATGAGGAACCACATGGTGCCTCCGTATTAAATCACACTGGGTTTCGCAGTCGCGTATGTTAACGAGATGAATGTATCGCCTACAAGCGAACCTCTTGAATCGCGTACACACAGAGTGAATAATTTTTTATGAATATACTCACGACACCAGTGAATGAATTATCTCAGAAACGCCGAAGGTGTGACATGTGTACAAATAATTTTGCGGTATATTAATACCGCGAAAGAGAGAGAGAGAGAGAGAAAGAGAGAGAGAGAGAGAGAGAGAGAGTTGTCGTCTACTCATACTTTAGTGCGCATACAACATAGTATATATATATTTAATAAAATTATGTACTTGTACATATGTAAAAAGTTGTCTGGAATTTTGAAATTCCGTTTTGAACACTATTCAATATAAATCGCGGTTTCGAGGATAATTGATGATGAATGTATAAACGTCGCATGTCTCTTAGGAGAACAAACAAGTCGACAATTTATACCTAACCATCGCTTCTCGGCAAGACAATGGGTCGTCAAAAGCGAGCATCGAGCAAAGTACTTAAAGTATCTTCGAATTATTATCGCTCGATTACGAAATACGAAGCTTACTTCGAAGTCAACTCGACTCGGTCGCGTATCGTGATTATGGTCCATTCGATTGTAACACAGTAGGTTGTGCACTTTGGCCTCAATTATCTGCACTTCGTCGCATTTTTATCGGCGCCATTCTTCGGACACTGTCACGCTAAACTCGTTATTCCGTTTATAATTGCGCGGTCCGATGCGACTTGGCCGTTCGATCACGTTCTCTTCAAGGTATCAGTAGATGCATGATATCGCCAAACTCGTACTCGCCCAGAAGAATGTGAAAAAGATCCCTCATAGTCAGATGATGAATCGTCTCGTTCACGTGGCTAGACACGTAATTCTGTATTATCGGCAATATGTCTGGTTTAATGATGTCTAATGCCTCCGGTGTCAATTCCTCGAAGACCTGCAAACCGGCAGACCGATTTATAGATACGCACACGGCTCATGCGATGATATACTGTGGGGATGTAATTCATTCCGCGGGAATCTAGTCCTATTTGAACTTTGCTCTCGGACATTGAACTTGATTCATACAGCGTGAAGCTCAAGTAGAAGGTGGCGAATCAGATGTATGAAATCGCGATGTGTGAAATTTGTATCTTGGTAAAAAAGGCGCGATTTCCTTGATACTCAGATATATCTAATAATATTTACTCATACAATATAACAGCACTTATAAAAATTTTCTAATTATCTGGAACGGAGAAAGACTCTGAATTAGTCGCTTTCTTTCTAAGATATGGAAATGACACACGGTTGTGACTTTTCTCATTGCAAACGACTGAATATTGATTATCAGCCGTCTCCGAGCAATGTCTGAAATTTACTTTAATCATTAGCATGGAAATAATCAATTGGCTATATGCGGTGAAATCGACATTTGCGCAGTTGAGACCGCGCGTCACTAAGCGGGACTCGGACGACTCGAGCATGCAATTAATATTCGGCAGACGACGCGGAATTTTGGTTTCATTGGCCGGGTAAGTGCGACCTCGCTCTACTGATGCTCGCTGCATCGCGAATAATCGCGATGGACACCGAATTAGCCTTAAAGACCATTTACTGTAAATTATACTATTATATACTATTATACTATTATACTATTATTACTATAAATATTGTCCGCAAAAGATAGGCCAGTCGTAAAACGAATTCCATTTCGCTCGAGCAGCGGCTTGCAGAAAAATACTACGAGTCAATGTAAATTTTTACTGGACTGGAGATTGCGCACGATGGAATTTTTACGACGGTAACGTTTACGAGGAATCGTAAAATGAAATTTTATCCCTTCCTTCTATTTACAAGAAGCGATACCGCACGTTTCGATTTTATGAAAGTTCACGTGAATATCGCAACTTCTGTCGCGATGTTGGATTCCGCGACGTTGGAAGGATCTTGTTGGATGACGCCACAGGGATGTCCCCACAGGGACTAGTTTTCACATATGCACACATACATACACATGCAAATGACTTGACAACAATTTATAGATCGAGAAACAGATTTGATCAAGAGTCTCTCACCTTGCTCATAATTTTGCCGACATCCAGGCCGCCCATAAAGTTCTCCAGGTGAATCTTGATCGCGCGGAGAGAAAAATCCAGGACGAAGCTCTTCATGTACATTCCTCTGCTGTAGCCGAGCATGGTATTCACGTAAGCGCGGAAGTCGCGTATGGTCGCCTGGAAAGGACCCTCGCCGCGTAGCTGATATGTGTCGCCTAGCACACCGGATATGTTGTAAAGGCCCGACGCGTAAATCTCGGGAATGGAAATGTTGATTGCGATGGTAGGGCCGATCAGCGACAGCTTAGCGCGATCGATCAGGAAAGTCGACAACTTCCTCAGCTCTAAGTCCTCGATCACCAGATGCACTCTACACAGCAGATTTACGATGAAGTTTGGCGCGGCGCGGTATTAATCGCACGTCGCGGCCGCGATATAATCGATTCTTTCGCGCGTGGCCCGGCAAATGAATCCGATGCGTTTCAAACGCGAGACACCACCCAGAGCATTTTTCCTCAAACAACAAATCAGCCAACATCGGTCCTAACGATCGATACTCTAAATCTTATCTATTATCGAGGGCAACTTTCGAGTAAACTCGAGAGCTCTAGCAAATGCTGGAGCGTCATAATTACAAACACACTGCTGACACGACGACGAGTTCAGACAACATCGCCGACATCTTGAAAGCTGATAATTAAAATCAGATGTTAGATCTTCACGGTTGTTCGTTAACTTTTGCAAAATTGAATTGTCACATCGCTAAATGGTCACTTTGGTCATTTCTGAGAAAATAAATACAAATTTTTTCCATAGGAAAAGTAGGAAAGTATATAACACAATTAAAACTTCAAATGTTCAAGCTTCCTCCCGGGCAAGATCAATTTCGTGTCTACTTAGCTCAACATGCGCAGTACTCATTTATTAATTACATTTCCTCGAGACGAAAGATTGGCTCTGCAATTCACCTCAGAACCGCGAATCCAAGTTCTGAACAAAGTGCCGAGGTGGTATACATCGGCAACATAATGCGCCAGCGGCGGTATATTAGCGACGTATTATCCCGGAAACGCAAGACGGGGCTGTGCCTCCACTTGCTCAGCGAAATGCTCGTAATCTCTGGCACGCGACGTGCACGATATCGCGCAACGTTTCACCGGCTTACTTTCCTATTTCCGGATTGTCCGTGTCGATGTCGATCTCGTCGAGCGTGAACGGCTCCAAGGGAGGTATGCCCAACTCCGGGATGCCGTTGCGCATTCGGGCGCGGAATTTCTCCAGGAATCTTCTCAGCTTAAACTCGAGACCCTTCGACGCTGCGCTGTCAACTACCACCCTCTCGACGATTAGCATAAATGCGACGCGTAACGTGTCACACCGCGTATACTCGCGATACTCACTGTATCCGGTCGTCACCCTGGTGGCGTTGATCAATAAATTTCTCGGCCTCTCCACCGCGCTGGTTACTACAATCAGAAGACGAGACAGGAAGAGAGAGAGAGAGAGAGAGAGAGAGAGAGAGAGTCTCTCTTTATTTGCATTCTCGTTTATCTCGTTTATCTTATTGCGCCCGCTTGTTATTGCCGCGCTGCGCAGGTCAGGCATTAACTCTTTCGGCTTCGCCGCGACAATCGAGTTACCGCGTTGCGCATTGTTGCGTCACCTCCCGATTCCTCCCTGCGCTTTTATTGTTTATTGTACGTAAGCGCAATCAGAATTGCATGTTGAGAGAGAGAGAGAGAGAGAGAGAGAGAGAGAGAGAGAGAGAGAGAGAGAGAGAAATTCATCAAATTCCGCAAGCAGCACAACAGAGAGCGAATACAACGAGGCGGCAACGTACCGAAAGAGTTGAAATAGTAGAAGCGCGCGAAAGTAATCGCATGCATAACATAGCGGGGTCATTAATTAATCAGCACCGCGGTGATCCGTTGCGTGCGTCTCGCAGTCGGCCTTTGACATCTGTCATTTGCATACAAATGTAATGTCGCGCGGGAGGGAGGCTACGACGGGTGATTTCTAATTTATTCCGCGCGAGTTGCTTGCAATGTTTATCCGGCTATTCTTCGTGGTGCGTGGTGTACTCTACATTTCGCTCTATTTTCGACCGTACCGGGAACGTTACCGGGAAGAACTGAGAACTGTGTTTTCACTCGTAATCATTAATGGCCCGCCCTCCCCCCCCCCCCCCCGTTAATAACGCATATTAGCACGGCATTGTGTTGTGGTTTTTACGCAGGAGAAAGAGAGAGAGACAGAGGGAAACATTCGTTGCGCTCGTCTCGCGTGCGGAACGTGCCCGCTCGTCGCGTGCTCGTGCGTACAATTCCGCGGAAACTCGTAAATGTAGTAATGTGTGAAACGCTCGGATAAATGTAAATTGTAATTATGCGGGTGCGCCAAGGCGTTCGCCATTTAAGCCATTTAAGCCGTCCGCGTTAGTTTATCTTACGTTCACCTCAGCGAGAGACTTCGTTAGCGATTCCCATTGTCGGAGTTCCCCTCGGGAGCGGAACAACACGATATCGGCAGCTATATGTAGCGTTTAATCCGATTGCGACGTTATTTGAGGGACGATGTAAGCGCGGAGAGGTCCAATGGCGCTTACTTAAAACAGGATGAAAAAGGTTCGCCCGGTTCGCGAGTTTTCGAAATGTAATTACGGAAGTATCGTTCCGTGATTGAAGAGTGAGTGAAGAGGAAGGGGGGAATGTAATCTCTTCTCGATCAAATGCACCGCGCCATCGCGTTATTGCAGCGGAACGTTGTCGCAGCGTTTACCGCGTTATTACGCGATGCCACGCACGTCTGTACATTCGCGTCTCCGAGTTCCATTAGTTTGTCGACTCCACGCGTGTCGGGGTTTACATTCGCGCGAATTATTCGCTCTCCAATGGCTCCTGCGGAGGTAGGAGCTAACTTGTCGACGTGTATACACGTGCGCTCGTTCACATTGCGATTAAAAGTTGACGCACGCAGCGGATACAAACAGTACTCGCCACGAGCCTGTGTGTGTTTTAACAAAAATAGACAATGACTCGACTAATAATAGTCTATTATCTAACGAGTTTAATAATGGGCAATTTGGCTGCGATGACGCGACAAGATCCGCAAACGACAGAGACCGACCGTCGCGTCTCGGGTTCGACGAGGAATGAAGTTCGGAAAATCGCGATTAAATTCTCAGGGTTCGATCAATCCCGCACTCTCTGCAGATTGAGTTAATGCGATGATAATGAATTTCCGGTTTCGCGAGTATTATCCGGTCATTTTCCAAAGAGATGCTGACTCGGCTCTGTTCCTTATCAGCAGCTATACGCAGAAGCATTTGCAATGTCCGACAAGCTATTACTTCTATTTCTATCTTTTCATCGGTGGATTCGGTGGGTCATGAAAGCTGCGCCGTAAGCGAAAAGTGTGTGTTAACTCAAGCCTCCCTGAAAAGGGATCATTGCGAATTTGGGCGAACACATACTGTAGTTCGTGGCAGTGTCCGTAACGCGATGCAACAATTGTTTTTGCCGTCGCACGACTCCCGTTACTGCAACAAACGAGCACAAATCAACGAGATACCCCTGCGAGCCGGGATAGATTAAACCGGGAAACGAAACGCAAGTCCGCGCACTCATCGCCACCGATATCCTACGTAACAGCTGGTGATCTTCAGCAGAATTTAACGCGATAACTAATGCTTCTAGATTAACAGGGACGGCAAGATGCGCGAGAGCCGTGATCTGTTTCTTCTTTCGCAATCCCACGTTGCCTTTGATCAACGCGCGCGCGCGCGCGCGAGAACGGCGTCCGAATTATATCCGATACGTCGCGCACGGGCGTATACATTCGAAATACTACTGTGATCAAAAGATAAGGTGAATTTGTTTATAAAATGAAAAATCTTTATTTATTCTTCCAAATCAATTTCATCGCCTTCAAAGTACTCCCCGTCCGACACAATGCACTTATGCCAAGGTTTTTCCGATCCTCGAAACAGTCAGAGAAGTCTTTTTCCGGGATGGCCTTCAATATTTTCTTCGATTCGGCTTTTATCTCCTCAGTCGAGTCGAAACGGTGTCCCCGGAGCGGTCTTTTGAGTTTGTTGAACAGCCAGAAGTCGCACGGTGCTAAATCAGGCGAATACGGTGGTTGTGGAACGGTATGGGTCGAATTTTTGACGAAATGTTCTCGAAGAATCCATGCAGTGTGGGACGGTGCATTATCGTGGCGCAAAAACCAAGAATTGTCTGGCCTCTTGAGGCGAATAGCTTCACGCAAACGACGCATAACACTCAAATAATATTCCTTGTTAACAGTTTAATTTCCTTGACGCGGCTTTCATCGGTAGATGTTGATCCGGTCGTCCGGGGCGCTGTTCGTCTTCAACTCGTTCTCGAACTCTTCTTTGAAGTCTTTGTACCACTTGTAAACATTTTTTTGCGACATAGCCTTATCACCAAAGGCCTTCTGCGACATCCTCAACGTTCCCGCGGCAGAATATTCATTCCGCAAACAAAATTTAATGCAAATTCTTTGCTCAACAAAATCGGACATAGTAAAAATCGAAAAACTCACTTTTGTATGTTTACAAAAACACGTATAACTCTGCAGCAATTGAATATATTGACATGAAACTCTGCATAGATGTCAAAGACAGTGCTACCAACCCATAAAAAAATAATCTCATGACTTTATAGTACCCGCGAAGTTTAAATGAAAAATTCATCTTATTTTTTGGTCACAGTGGTATGTTGCCGTCGATTGCGCTTTTCCTCTATTTCGCGTCAACGATAGATCGCTCACTCTGGGCGTCACACATGCCGTCGCTTTGCTAGCAACATCAAATAACGCGGGGGACGTTCCCGCAAGTTTCGCGCACATTGCGCGTGGCGATTGACCGTCAGGCTGCCTTTATTCGCACGCGTTAATTAAACCGTGCGCCGCTAAACCGGCGGCGGCGCGCGCTGATTGCGGACGAAAAGGATCGGCTGACACGAGTCTGAGAGTCGCTTTTCTGACCGCGAGGCTGTTACGGGTGTCCGACGAGTCCGACACGGTTCAGACGTTCGCCAAATCTGGACCTACGGTCTCGTTTCTTTTTTAATCGACGAAAAAAAGAAAAAAAAGGCCGCCTGCGCGTGCTTGCCCTGCCTTGTGACGTAACGTATTACGTGAGAGAGGAGATTAATTGAGCAACGACCGAATAATAATCATGCACGGACGGAATGCGACGAGAGTTTCGCACGTTCAATTGCGACCCGTGATATTTGGCTCGCTGAGAGGTCTCACGCACACTTCGAGAGCGTCGATGTAAAAACTGCATGTTGCGCATCGAGCTTTGATTCCATTTGTAATAACGCGTTTATATAACAGCGTATAAGAGATCGTGAACACAAGAGCGAGTTTTCATTATAACCTTTTACCGTGTTATCGTCATACGGGAGACGTACATTACCGCCGTTGCTGCTGATTGAATCGGAAATGTCAACTGATCTCGAACAATGAGCGAGTTAGTCGTGCAATTTGAACGAGAAGCAAATTGCGGCAAAACAAATTTTGCTTCGCTCTGGTTTGTGTCTCTTTATATTGCCGGGCGTACACATATCGGCGATTTAAATTAAATTAATCCACCGAATGAATAAAATATCGCGTTTGATATATCAAGTAATTAAGGACAATTATAGCGAACGGAAATATTTCCCACCGAAATATATATCGCGGATATACGGACTGAAATAGTCGCTCGGTAATACGTAGATTGAGTTGTTCACACTCATTTCAGCTTTTCTATACTCTCTCATTCTTTCGGTATAATATACGTTCGCGTATGAAGAAAAATTAACCGATGTTTCCATCTACGTTGCGTACGTACGCGCTTTCGCAGATTCGTGTTATATCTTTCTTTTCTTATAAATTATGTGTAACGTCGCGTTTGCAAAGATAAGTCTAACGGTGACTAACGGTGAGAAGCAAAAACTATCCTTCGTCATACATGTTCGCTACAAAGAATTGTATCAGCAGCATATTTTTAAATATACTTTAAATTTTTCTTGCAGCTGAGTTCTCAGCAGTGAGAAGTGCATCGTAGTTTGAATAATCTTCGCTTTCGGGGATAAACGTGCAAATGCATTTTGTCTCGAAGCTAGATGTTCCTTGCACAATATATATATATATATATACTTTCTAATAATATAGACATGTCCTTCGGTTTTTTCCATAAGTCTTAATCCGAAAGGCAGGGAACTCATAAATTCTCATGTATATTTATCGAGACGATAACCGGCAATTCCTTCAAGCATTCCTTTCTATTTTTGACAGTCATCTAATCGATCTTGAATTAATTAATCAAACTCAATTCAACTTACTTAAGATTACAACTTTACTGTTCAAGTGTCGAAGATAACGGGGATTTTCTTTTAGCGCGAGACAGAAACATTGATTGCGAGGTGGATCAATAATTGAGAGAGATAGTTTATCTACGCTTGAACTACGACCACTTCGACAGTAATGTACGATATCGCGATATATTATTCCATACATTCCGCTAACAATGTACAAAGTTATATCGCCATGGGAATAGCCTTATCGCGTCGTCCTGTCGTCCCGGGCTGTTTTGTTAATGCAATTTGCATTTTGAAGAAACGCGTCGGTACAAACGGAAACATTCATCATTTCGCGTGCCAGTGAAATATTATCTAAGTAGTCGATCACGCAGGGCGGAATAATGTATAGTCTATTTTGCATCCGATTAAAAATGTGGGTTACTTCACTCGGTATACAGTAAATATCGCATTTATATTAACAATTATCGCGATCACACCGCCACGTTAGTCGCCGCGTTCAAAGAACCCTTGCGAGTTACGTGGCACAAATCGCGAGTAGCGAAGTGTGACCTGTCGACGAGTCATCTCACACTTCGATCAGTCAGATACTTTCGATTACTCGACGTGAGAGTAACGATCTTCTCAGATCTCCGATATTGTTATCTAACAGCAGCACGCTTGAACTTTCCATTCATTGTCCAATCCTCACAACTGATACCGTTGTGCCGTTGCGTTTGTGTTTTCACTTTCATCGAATACCCACGTTGTGTCTCATCTACCCAAGCATCGTAATTCGTTACGTCACCGGCTCTCGGCTGGAGTTTAACTCCCAGGCACCTTCGCCGGCGCGACTCGCTTGCTATTCAAAGTTTCGGCCGATCATTCGATTACGATCGCGCGAGCGTGATGGGAACGTTCGATATAGTACATCTTCAACATCAAGACCTAATTTCTGCCGAGGCACTAAGTATACACACACACACACACAGTCTCATGCCACTAGACCACAGCCACGCGTGTAGAACTGTGCGGGCGCGTAAAAGTGTAAACGCGTGATTTTCCTTCTCGTTATTTATCAATTACCAATCATCTAATATCATCGCTCTCGAACTTGACGCGAGACATCGACTTGAGTGATATCGGGGTCGACTCACGGAAGTTCGTTGCGCTGTTCGCGACGTTACCAATGCCGTTCAGCAGGGTGGAGGGCAAGGGCTCGGCTGGCGATGCGTGCACTACCACCACCTCGAGGACGATGCATATCGCCAGCGCCAGAGTTCGTCTCGTCGCTCCTGGTCCCAGTGACATTTTGTTCCGCAATCCGTCGCAGGCAATCGTCGCGGAAAACGCGGGAAACTGGCCGGGATCGAGCCGCTCTCGTGGGAGCAGGAAGACTGACTGACTGACCAACTGACAAGATGAAAAACCACAAGCTGCACAAGCCGCTGGTGCACAAGGCGCGCGTGCACGCCGAGCGCGTCGTCAGCGAAAGTGAGCGCTCGTGCACGCTCTCGCGCGACTCGCATGTCGTATTTACACGCTCGGCTCGACTCGGCCTGGCGTGTGTCGCGCTGGAACGCGCAGGTAATCGTTTCGGGTAAGGTCGCGCGCGGGGTCTTCACCGAGCTCATTCACGGCGCCGCGCCGGAGGTATCGCTGCTCGAATCGGCCGCGAGTATCGAGGAGAGAACGCTAAAGCGCAAATTACAATCAATTGCTCGATTTTCGTGAAAGAATCGCCAAGGGAATGAGGCGCAAGTTGATGCCTGCAAGTGAGATGAGACATCAACAAAAACGATCACGGTGATCGCGGTTACGCTCTTAACCAGTTCGTCACGCGGCTTCGTTATTTATTATTCACAAGTACAAAGAGTAAAATGATTCACTCGTGATCGAATCGATTTCCCCGCGCTCGCGTGCGCGCGAGCGACACGGCGCGACTTTTATCTTCGCCGCGCGTTATTAGGCGTGAGATTGGCGACCGGTTTCGCCGCGGCGACTAGAACTAAAAGGACAGAAAAAATAGAGATTATGAGAATGAGTTTGATAAAGTTGTGACCGGCTCCGGTGAAATCGCCGGCGGATCGCACAAGCGCTCTTCCTGCGACTTCGCCGCTTCGGAGCGCGCTTATCCTCGGATACCTGAGTAGAACATCGTCTCACGGTATTATTAACGGTGTATTAAAACCCCATCCGGCTTCCAAATTTCAAATAAGGCCCGGATAACTTTATCGGATCCGTAATAAGGAGCGAAACGCACTGCTGCATAATGTCCTGATAAGATTGCCTGAAATCGAGAAACCTGATCAAATGTCCATCAGGACCAAATCAGGCATCCAAATACACAGTCTGTCCCAGATACGATGAGACTGGTTCCATCAAAGTTCTTAGCGCAGCGATATCTATGAGTGAATGATGGTAGGTGAATGTTCTACCCTTCATCTACTTAACCTCAAAATTTGAGCGAATTCGGTTATATTTCGATATTTCACTGTGGTTTGACATTTTATGTAAAGTCACTTTGTGTACGTCGGTCGAAAAACCAACATGGAACATGTTTTAAATTGGGTAAAAGTGGTGCAGAAATGTACGAAACGCTAAAAAATGTGTACGGGGATGAATGCATGTCCCGTGCACAGGTTTTCCGTTGGTTCGGCCGATTCCGTGACGGTCGTGAGGACCTTGCAGACGATGACCGAGCACCGCCGCCAAAAACCACTCGCAATGAAGAAAACATCGAGAGAGTCAAAGAAATTCTTCGAAGCGACCGCTGTGTGTCTGCGAGACTCATCGAAGAGGAAACTGGGATACCGAAAAGCACACAGTCTATCGAATTTTGACCGAAGATTTGGGCAAACGGAAGGTTGCACGATAATGCACCATCGCACAAAGCCATCATGGTACGTGAATTCTTGACCAAAAAAGGCATCATTGTTATCGATCATCCACCGTATTCACCTGATTTGGCTCCGTGCGACTTCTGGCTATTTCCCAAACTGAAATTGGCGATGAAAGGAAATCGTTTCGATGCCATCCCGATCATCCAAAAGACTTCGACCGCCATACTAAAGGCCATTCCAGCCGATGAGTATAAAAAATGTTTCGAAAAATTTCTTGAACGTTTCCAGCGCTGTATTGACTCAGAAGGAGACTATTTTGAATAAACAAGAATAAAAAATCAAAATAATAAACGCTTTGTATTTTTTTTAGACCAGTCTCATTGGATCTGGGACAGACTGTGTAATCGCTGGTCGTCATCGCTGGTCAGGGTACACTGATAGTAAAATATAGTTGAATTAACTATAATCTCACTATATTTTATAGTTCATTTTGGCGTCAACCATATTTTTATAGTTCGTGGAACCTGCAAAATATAGTAGAATAAACACAAATATATAGTCAATAATTGTCTTAAATAATTGTTTAGTTACTTTTACCACATGTATGGTAATTTCTCATTCACAAATACAGTGAGATTTAATATTCATATAGTTACATCTGTCATCATTTAGCAAATATTCTGCTGATATTGACCATATGAAAGAGTTACTTTACCTACCATTTTATATTTGTACCCATACAATAATTTTCGTCTAACTTACTATAATTCTTAAAAATATTATATGGTTGGTTATACTATGCCTATATCGTAATTATGGTAACCGATATTATGGTAATACTTACTATAAATATCATATTTCGGACTATAATTTAGTTACTATATCATTATAGTTCCAAATATCATATAATCCAAAAATATTGCAAGACAATTGCCACATCCCGACCGGATAAGGACCACTCACAATGCCTTCTTATGGCTTGCCTAGTCATGCCATATCAGGCATAAAAAATTGCCGTATTTGATCTCTGCTCGGGTAAATTTTTCTCCGGAGTATTTTGCGCGCGGACACGTTCTCATGCGGCAGAAATTATTTCACGCAGGTTTCTAAGGATCGCGTCTATCACTAGCCTGTTCACGCCTTACAAATCCCAAGGATCACGTCAGTCCGATCCTGCTCGCAACGTACGCGCAACGCGTCCAGCGAAAGTGAAGGTCTGTCACATTCGTGTTCACGTTCTTGCGGTTCATGAGAATGATCACGATCGAGCCGCGCGCAGAGTAATATCTGGAGCCTGGAACACAAACGCGATACGATTATACGCGCGCGCGTATACGTGTATTCTCCCGCATGTATGTAAATGCGCGATATTACGCCTCTGCGGTAAACACAGCGTTATTGCGCGTCGTAGCTTGACCGTGAAAGTGTTAGCATCACAAAGCCACACGTGTCGCGGAGCGTGATGATGTTTGGACTGCGATTATCTCCTTCCCGTTCCTGCTGAGTATTGACTGACTTTTTGTTAGCCGCTTCCGTATTCGGAGAAGCGAATTAACGAACTGTAACGAGTTTGAAATTTGTTGCTCCGTGAATTCGAGCGACCGGCAACTCCACGGGCTCTTCAGAAGCGCGATCAAGTGTGCGTGGAGCGTCCGTGTGTGAAGCAACCGTGTTCTCTAAATAAACGCGATTCTTCACGGCGATCCTCCAGTCGCGCCTAATTAATTCATGATTATGCTTGACGTGGCGGAAGATCAAGTGGAAGAGAGTCGCGAAGTCTCACGATCAGCCAGATGAAACAGGATAGCCTTCTTTAGAGTAGGAGTTGTCTTCTCGCGGCTGCGCGAGTTCTCAGATTAGCCTTGCACAAGAGGATCACACGAATGCGGAAGTGCACGGAAGTGGCTGCGCACAGCCGGTAATACATCGCGAGGTAAATTGCCACAATAGACGTCACGGAGGTCGCGAAAAAGAGAGCGCACGGGCGTAAAAGTATTTTACTTGTTGCGCGACTTTACGTGCACGAGACGCGTACGTGACGCGCATTGTGATCGCCGGATCGGCCACCGCGGGAGGTACTCGGTTTCTAGCCAGACGTCTCCGTAGCATCGTAACGAGGAATTACACTGCGGTCTAAAAGTTGTTACTTCGACGTTGCTATACGCGCGCGTACGTGTCTGTGTAGATGGAGACGTAATTTTGTATTTGCCGCAGCATCTACTCGCGAGACTCGTAGAAACGAGTACGCGACTGTAAAAGTGCCGATGGGCTGTTTTTTCTCCTTTTTTTCTCACCTCACCTTTGAGTCTCGTTAGCCTCGGAATCAACGTGAAACGCGATCGAAAGCGCGCTGGGCGTACAGCAAGGATCATTAAGGCGGAGATTTAAGGCACGCATTTATTTATTGGCACATGGGAAGTTTTACAGCTCGATCTAACGATAAAACAGCTGGTTGCAAAATCCTGACCTCAAGAAATCTTCTTACATAGAAGCCCTATCCTCTGTGGAAATATATCACATCCTCTTACAGCATATTCGTATCTTTTCCTCACTATATAAAGTCAGAGTGAATGATTAGGTGCAGCTTACAACGACAAAATTGCGATTTGCGTCTCGATATATATATATATATATATATAAACTTACTTCTATGTGACATTCTCTAAAATATCAAACATTACCCGTTCACGCACACCGATACCATGAAGCGAACGAAAATTACCAATACAAACTCGCCTCGGCTACGTAACGTCGTTTACGTCGTATTATCCACCGTCGGGGCGAACAATATTTGCGACCGGCGACGATTAATCGTCAGTCGTCCGTCGAGTTATCAATGTGTCAATTTTAACTTCGTCGAATGCACGAGATCAGAGCGGTGGAACGTTAGTCAGCCAGATTGTTCGCCGAGTTATCGCCCAATTAAAACTTACGGCTCCGTCGTATAATTCGCGAGCGATAAGAAAAGACGAGAAACGCGTCGGCGGAGAATTTGCTTGGCGGCAGGGCATGATCGACAGCTTCGCCCCCGATGAGCTTGAGAAACGGCGGATGTTCCTCGACGGCGACGTGGCCGTTTAACGTCCTAGAGGCTGCACCGTGGTCGGTTTCGGATAAACCCACGGGTTCGGTGCATAAGCTGGCCTTTGAGGTATCGGGTAGACCGTAATGGCCCCAGGTGCGACCGGTGCGGGAGTAGGTATCGCGTGTACAAATGCCGCCAGAGCCATTAAGAAGACTGCCGCAACAACAATAACGACTCTTCCTGGAGAGACCTGGAAACGGAAATACATCGTTGAAACGCGATACGTCTCGCTTTTCGGAGTTTCCGGAGGAGACCGAGGCTGCAATCGCTGCTGCTTGATCCGAGGCAAAAGAGCGAAAATCAGCGGCGAGTGAAAATTAAATTTTTGTTACTCGACGTCGATTTATTAGTCAACCCTCTCGATGACTCCCTTCTATTGACTCATCGGAAAGTCCGCTGCGCGAACATCGGACGCAACGTCGGATGATGATTCTTGCTACTTTTACTTACTTGCGCGCCTGAACTTTAGCCCCGAAAAGGATAATGTTTCATTCCTTCCTCTCTTTGCGCTGGTTTTACGATTGAAGCTGAGCACTTTGTAACTTTCCGCTAACTAATCTTATCCGCCGGGCGAAGCGCGACTGGATCATCATTTTCGTCATGGCATTTCGTTCACGCGCGTTTCATCGCGTGTGCCAGCCGAAGGCGACACAAAAGTGCATTTTTCGCGGCACATTTTAACAAGGGACTTTTACCGCTCTCTCTCTCTCTCTCTCTCTCTCTCTCTCTCTTGCCGATTGTCTAAATTGCTATTCGCCGATGCGTGATAAAGGAACAGCGCGGATCGCGAGCGTTACTTTCGCTGGGATTATTTGAACTATGCGACGCGCGCGGCACATAAAAACACCGGGCGACATAAATGCGCGCGCGCTTTCGACGAAATTACGTTGCGAGTGCAGCTGAGTGGAGATTTATGGATTCATAAGATGTCGCTGCGTTGAACCACAGTCGTTAATCATAGTCGTCGTCCGAAAATTCTTCATATCAAAGTGACGAATGCCTGTCTGCCTGCCTGCCTGCCTGCCCGCGCCGACAAAGTTTCCACGTCGGAATTAAAATGAAATGGAATACTGGAAAGAGTGCGAGTGCAAAATATAAGTGCGGGTTATGGAGTGAGTTCCCCCAGAGTACTTCCTGGAATTTCACACAGCGTCATTTGAATCGGCTTTATTACGAAATAGCTTGCGGCTAGCATTTTTTGAGTCCTCACCGGTGAAGAGAGACGAGCGTGTTCGAGGAAAGATTACTTCACCGCGCGCTGCACCGCTCGCGATTATCACGCTGTATTGCTGTTATTAAGGAAGACATTTTTGCGCGGGGCAACACGGACAATTTGATGAAAATAATAATGCGGGAATATTCCGCGAGAGGGAATTCCTTCTCGCGCGGTCTGTTATCGTCGATAAACTCGGTAATGGCCGCGCTCGTTCGAATGCAGAAATCGTCGGCGTGCAATTTACATCGAAACAAACCGCGCGCACCCGGAAGGAAATTCGCGGAAATGATCATATTTAATTCACAAGTTCACAATGGAAGCGGATGATTGTAATCGAGTTAGCAACTTGAATAATGCATTGTCGGGCTTTATTGTTCTTCAGGAGTCACCACTGTTGAGATTTATTGCGTTGTCTCGTGAGATACGCGATCGCCGTGTCGACCGATTAAGAGACTGGAGAACTATATCGTAGGAAAAAGTGTGCGGTATTTGTGATTGTAATCGCGTAGCGAAAGGATCGCGGAGAGAAACATTTTTGCAGTAAGTGTTCTCTCTGCTGCAGTTCTCTCATGACGATAACTGTACAAGCGTATTTCTGGTAATACTATATTTTGTTAGAACAGGAAGATTTATCTATTTTTTTCTCTTAATACATAAATTACATTTTGAAACACACGACATGACATGACTTATGATGCATATAAAATTGATAATACTTTTTCTTTATTTTTAGAAAATCCGTATCTTATCTACTCATTGACTCGGCGACTTTTAACGAAAGATCATTACGAATTACAACGGAATTGATGTTAATTCATCTCCTTCGATATATCGTGGAGAATTTTGTCGGTATAAAAATGCGTGACCATAATGCAGAATTTCAATAGTTATTTATACATGCCGCGTTTCTCGGTTAGCATATATTACCATGATATCGGTGATCTCGGATGTCCCTTGCCGACTCGGGTGCTCGAGGCGAACAGTGCGCATCCTCAAACGTTAGCAGACTTTTATACCGCTGGATTTTGAGAGGTGGATATTCGGGTCAGGATGCGTGAGAAGCGATATCGCCCGTATATCGCGCGAGTCCAAGGAAATCCCATAAACGAGCAGATGTTCATTCATGTTTGCTTCTGCTTGCTGCATCCGTACGCATCGTGCGGATGCGCTTCGCGAATATGTAAATCGCGTGAGGAAGATATTGCTAATTCACATTTAGATGCACAATCGTGTGCGAACATCCATTACATTTTAGTCGAGCAGCCAGAGTGTGACGTCACTTCTAATCTCACGTTTGTCAAAGCAATTAATAATATCTGCTAATATGAATGTGACTTTTTTTCCATATTTCGTGGAGAGGATCATTTCAGTAGCCGACGTTAAAATCTTGAGAAATTAAGTTTGTCTTTCTTTTCCTTTTCTTTTTTTAGCAAATTGTTTTTAATAGCTTGTGGCATTTTTGAAATTTATTTCCCAAAGTGATGGTTCCTCGCGTCAAAAGTCCTAACCGACGAGCAACAATTAGCCAACAAGCCTTGACACGCAACGTAGTTTACACATGTTGAATACTAATGAATACAAGATATATTGTAGCTAGTATAAAAGCCTTTCTCAGAATCGTTCTAAACGTTGTGCAAACTTGAATCGCAATCCTGTAAACCAGTCGCGCCGGCGTTGCCGCTTACGTCTATAACGGATTTTTTAACGAAGTTGGAGTCAATTTTCTACGAAGTGTAAGATGAAATTGTTTAACGGCGAAAATGAGCAGTTTCACAACGTTTGCAAAAATGTTAACACTGTTATATTTTTTTTACGTTCAGGTCCTTACAAATCTGTGCTTTCATCTTCAATCGACGAAATCGACAAAATCGATTGTGTCCAACAGTGTCGGTCTACGTATGTGCGTCATCGCATATTAATGAGTTTCTTACATGACACTTAATCGCGACAGTTTTATGATTCATTCAGTTATTACTGAAACGACGGTGCACGTATTTCAGGTCGAAGGTTGATTTATCATGTTTCTATTAATCGCATCAATTACAATATCCGCATTTGTTTGTCTCAAAACAGATGAACAAATCCGATCAGTTGGAGGAAAAACAAACTCTAAATACATATATATCATTGTTTATTTTATAGTTCTTCTTACGAAAAGTGATATGAAAACCGTCTTACAAATTCTAGGATAAAATAAATAATTATATACAACAATACTCTATACTACTACTGTGAGCAATGACTCAGATATTATATTATACGTTGTCTCATGCAGCGTAACAATTTTCACCCTGCAGTCTCGTCTGTACATCTAAATATATATTTACATTATTGCATTCATATATAATATAATAGTGTTTCTCCCAATATTGAATTAATTAACTTAATATTAATATTTATATTTATCTTTTGTTAAGTTATTATTAAAAATCTACTATTATATCATTTGATATAATAGTAGCGTCGAAATATATTTTCCATATCCTATGTCTATATAAAGTCATATTATTTCCTATTAAACAGATATATGTCATGTATATTTCCATATATTACAAATCTGCAATAATTATGAAAAAATATATACTACATATAAATGCAGAAAATTAAGCAGTCTTAAAAGCTGCTGTACTTTTATTCCTGAAGATATACCAAAAGAAATAATACCATTTATACTCAACATATACAAAATTTGGAGAATCGTATTTAGAACTGTTCACAATTGTCCCAACAATTACAACGACAAGTTAACAGAATTTTATTTATAATGTTATTTGCTGTATAATTTATAAAATTTAATTTTTCGTATTATGTATATGGATTTAAAAAAAATTTCCTGACTTTTCAATTATATCATTTTTTTCTTGTTGTACAGAAAATATTATGAACAGAATTTTATCGTAACTTATCGATTAAAGTAAATCTAAATTAAATCTGAAGTAAATTTCAAATTAGGATCTTTGCATTAACTTCCCGAAATATTTTATGATCTAAATTGTAAATGTTGCAGATATAAACATCTGTCTTAGATAAAACTTGTGTTCCCGATGATCTTAGATACATAATATGTATACAACAAATGGAATTAAATATTCTAAGATCATCGGTGAATAGCTGTTTACCGTAATAACTTTTAAAGATAAAATTTTTAAAGAAAAAGTACAACAAAAAATACTATAAAATATTTATAAAATAGATTATTGATTAGTTACGTGGATTCTAAAAGTTCATTGTTATAAAACAATCTTCTTATCGCGCGTGTATTCCACGGTGCCAAGCTGATTACTCTGAAAAAATAATGAAAAGATTAAATTACTCAAACACAACGAGTTAAAATATCACAACGCAACGCAAACAACATTCTCTCTTACTCTCTAAATTATTTTTAATTAAAGAGAACTAGTCGCTTCCTGTAAGAAGAATTATGTAAAGTAAATATGAAAATTGAAATTCACTTACATAGCCAATAATATAACACATATTTGCGTTATAAATGTCAACCAATATATAAAGTTTGGCACCGTGTAGATGGTGGCGTTGTAAATTTGCGAGTACAAAACACTGCTGATTAGCGGGACTGCATTGTCGAATACGGAGAGTATCGCAAACACCTTCCCTGAGAAATGAAGAACCGGTAACAAAATTTATTTTTTGTCGTGACGGAAAAAGAGAAATCGTCAATGCGGTATATAAAATTGAAACCGGTATTACATTATATTAATGAATTCGTTTATTCTGACTTATCCTTTTCTCTCATTTTTGTTTAAGCAGCTGTATTTTGATGATTAGTTTGAATCACAAATATCGGTTTCAATCCCCACGTAACATCGTACAATGATCCGATAGAAAGCTAACCGTAACAAATAAGATTACACACCTCGCTCTTCTACCAGTACATATTTAGAAGCCATAGATCTAAGCGCAGGAGCCACCACGGGTCCTAATGCGGCGGCGACAGCACCTACGCAATAATTATTGCATATGTTTGATATTTTGCTGAAATCTACAGATTGATAACCGCGTTGGAAAACGCGTAACATGTAAGCGACATATCAACGACGTATATTGTTTTACGTCAGTTACGTCAACACTCTTTGTTAGTCTTACCAACATAAAATAATTCCCCTCTGTTCGCTGCGATAAATACCAGTCTTCCTGTTGCATGTGATATTGCCCCGACTATTGTGATCGCAGTATCCTTCATTCGAGTATGTTTCATCAATGGCATTGCAAGCAGCATCGCTGTTGAGATAAAAACATTTCATATTAGACTGTCTGCCCGCAACGTTTTCAACAACGTCCAATATGCATCATCTTTAAACTTAATTTCCATAATCTTGATAACACGCATGCGAATCTGTATTCATCTTCGATGCTTACGCACGTAACGATCATTTGTTTCTTGACGTACAACGTACCTCAAGAAAACGTAGTTCAAGCAGCGTAGTGAAAAGAGATTATAAAATTCGTGTATTCGATAACGACGAAAACGGGCAAGAAACGATCGACGATTTAACGATTACATGTCCTTATATAGAAAGCCGAACCTTCTGCAGGAGCAGTTTCAATATCGCGCGACAAGGTCGTAATTTTTTTATTACCCTCTGTGAGGACGTTAAGTTAGCTGGGAGTGAAAGTTCTTAGTCTCGATACGCGAAATTTCTCCTTTCACTTGCGACTCCCGGAATATGTCTCATTACACCGTGATTGGACCTCGTCGGGATTCACAGAGTATTAACTTGACCTGATTTCGGTCACGCCTACTCGGTCCGACTGACCTGCCACGTAAAACGATGACTGAAACGTTCGGAAGTAACTGAATGTTACTACGTCCCAATTGAAGACCAGCTGAGTATACAGGTAGCTCATGGACCGCTCTTCCCGTTGGAACGTGTACAAGCACATCGACAACATGACTAGTGCTAAGCATGCTCTTGCGTTATTTTGCCTCGATTTAATCATCATACTCAAAGTCTGTCGAACATGATCGGTGTCGAAGAAATCCTTCAGAAAATTAACGCCGATGAGTGATTGTTGTTCCGGCGACGATTGCCATTTGAGTCTCACGAGCGAGTAAACAATTGCCAGTATGAGCAAGCTCGCGTTTATGGCGAACATAATCGTGTAAGATGAGTTGACCACATTGGCGAATACGTAAGATCCAAGTGCGATACCTGCAATAAACAAGACGTGTAGTGAAGATTACTCGAAAGCCGTATCTCCGATTATTGCGACGAGTTTCTTTTATATAATTGCAAAATGAGAGAGACAGAGAGAGAGAGAGAGAGAGAGAGAGAGAGAGAGAGAGAGAGAGAGAGGAAATTGAAGACGAAGCGTTAAGAAAAATATGCAATTTTTCTAACGTTTTTATCGTCTACATTTTCTTCCGTCTGAAAATCATTAATTTACAAATTATTCTTTATAGCCGATTCTTACCCGTAGGCATAGTACTGAGGTACACGATATCCAGAATCGTGATCCTCATAGTTCTCTCTTCGTACGAACATATGTCCGTTAAATAAGCGAAGCAGCTGCCAAAGATTATAACGTCGCCGCCCAGTAGACCCATCGGTACAACAGCCGTGTATATCACCATATTCAGATTCCAATTCGGCATTAGGGAATTGATCACGATCATGAAGGAGTAAATCAATTTGCCTATCAGACCGATGACGAGCGGCAATTTGCGTCCGCGCCGGTCGCTCCAGTTGCCGAAGAATAACGCTAAAATGATAGGGATGATATGTCCGGCGAGATTGTACCATTGCTGGAATTCCGAGACGGTTTTCTGCAAAATAATTTTCTCGTTTTAACGAGCCATAAGTCGAAAATTGAGAACAAATTATCGGCTGAGAGCTGTAATAGCGACGAAAAGACAAAAATATCGCGTACATTTGCAAAATTTTGATTCCATGTTAAAATGTTTTATATGAATATTTCGGTGTGTCCTCCTTGCATATTTCTTAACAAAGTAGAAATATAAGAGACTTGAGTTTAGAGAAACATTTAAACGTATTAAATCCATTAGATTTATCAAAATACGTACTTTATTTCATACGTATATGCCTGTCCATCATGACAAATATTTATTTAGACAATCATCTTGATAACATGTCACTCTCACGTCTACAATTATCTGGTTTAAGCATTTCTTTTTCCTCTCTCGATTTCGACGTTATATTACTTACTATGATTACAATGTTAACGGCAAGTGGTTGCTAATCAACGTGATATAGATAATCGCTAAGTACGAGACCCATTTATTTATCGGACTAATTATCGTCGTTAAATTGAACTCTGTTACTACACCGAGATAAGACTCATATCCCCCATCCTACTTCCCTTTTCTCTCCTTCAATTTCTTGTTCGTATAATATTTGAAAGTGTTTACCTGCACTTCGGTTTGTATGTTCTTATTCTCGTTCAGGTGCAGACAGATTTCTTCCGAGTATCCATGATCCACCCGGCACGCTTTATGTACGAAAAAGGCTTGCTCAACCACTGATGTGAACATGAAGGCCATCATATATAACCACATAGTTGGTTCTACTGATATTTTTTGTAACCATATGCAACATCCTTTGTTTTCTTGGATGATTTGCACCTCTGCCACTTGATCTTCTATTATCTGATGTATGTCGGAGGACCCATTCTCTATATCGCTATTATTTTTACACAAGAGTTTTTCTGGTTCCTTCTGGAAGGACTCCTTTTGTACCAGCGGATCATTCCCATGAGAAGACTCCTCATAACTCCGTATAACTTGAACATTTCCATGAGAAGATCCTTCCTGTTCGTCCTGGTCATCTTCGTACGAATACTCTCCTCGTGTCGGCTGATTCTTTTTATAGTGAGGCTTCTCTCGTATCAACTGATCATTCTTACGAGAAAGTTGCTTTTCCAAGTTCTGCATATTTTCTCTGAGGATCTCCTTTAGAACTTCCTTGGAGGTTTGAAAATTTTCACGGAAGAAAAGATTTTTTATTGTTTCGAGTATCGTCAATAAGTTCTTGCGTAGTTCTTCGGTATTGTTATGGGAAGAGTTCTCTTCCATGGCTTGAACGTTCTCGTGAGAAGACTTTTCTTGTGCCAACTCCTCATTCCTATGAGAACAATCTTTTTCCACAGTCTCATGAGAGTATTTCTTCTCTACGGTCTGAATAGACTTATCGAGAAACTCGCGAAGAAACTCTCCGTCTCCTCCCTGGAGGTTCTCGTGAGAAGACTCCTCTTGTACCAACTGATCATTTCTACGAGGGAATTTCTCACCCATAGTCTGAACATTTTCATCGGAAAATCCTTCCTGTCCATCTTGGTCACTTTTGTACGAATACTTCTCTTGTATTGTCTGATTTTTTCCATAGCAAGATTTCTCTTGTATCAACTGATCATTCTTAGAAGCGAGTCGCTCTTCCAAGTTCTGGACGTTTTCATTGAGAATGTCTTCTGGAACCTCCACGGAAACTTTAACATTTTCATGAAAGAAATGATTTCTTATTGTTTGGAGTATCGTCAATAAGTTCTTGCGTATTTCCTCGATATCGCTATGGGAAAAACTTTCTTCTACGGCCTGAACCTTTTCATGGGAAGATCCTTCCTGTTTTTTCTTACAGTAAGGCTTCTCTGATAGCAACCTTATGATATCATCCTTATGAGAGAGTTGCTTTTCCAAATTCTGGATATTTTCACTAAGAATCTCCTTTAAAATCTCCTTGCAGGTTGAAACATTTTCATGGAAGAAAAGATTTTTTATTGTCTGGAATACCGTCAATAAGTTCTTGTATAGTTCCTCAGTATTGCTATAGGAAGAACTTTCTTCCATGATCTGAACATTCCCATGAGAAGACTTCGTTTGTACCGACTGATCATTTTTATGAGAATGTCCCTCTTCCACGGTCTGAACATTTTCGTGACAGTATTCCTCCTCTTCGGCCTGAATAGTTTTATCGAGAGACTCATGAAGAAATTCCTCGTCTTTACTCTGGATGTTCTTATTAGAAGACTCTTCTTGTACCGACTGATCATTCTTATCAGAGGGCACCTCATCCATGGTTTGTACATTTTCGTTCAAAACCCCCTCGTCTATTTCGTTCCAATCGACGTCATCGTGAGAAAACGATGTCCCCTCTGCCGTTGAAACTTCGTGAGAAGACGAAGAATCACTTGGTACTTCGATCTCTGGTACCATTTTTTCATTATCGGCACAGGACTCCTTTTTCACGACCTGAATATTTTCATGAGATGAACTCTTCTTTAAGGCCTGAATATTCCATTGAACGATATCCTTCTTTATTTCTTCTAATTTTTTAAAAGCATTTTTAGTCACTACTGGCTGAGTATAAGAAAAAGCAGGAGAATCCTCCGTACTTCCAATTCTTTTGCATTTTCTCGGAGAGATTGGAACATTCTCATTTTTATGCTCTTGTATTGGTTGGAGTTTCACGAAGAGCTTCTTCTTTTTCTTCAATGGCTTGGTATGTTCATCCACAACCATTTCGAACGATATTGGAGATAACTTATTTATTTCTTTATTAGATGATAGCTGAAAATTGCAAAATAAACATTGAGATTCAACGCAACGTTTGTGTCCTTATCTGTTGAAATCTTAACACAATTTCTATTCTTCTATATATTTTTGTCATGTGCATACATCCAAGTTGAAACACTAAGACTCGATAGCTACGCCTGCATTCAAATTACATTGTTTTATTTTGCACATCAATGTATAATTTTCTTTCAATATTTCTTTTTGACCGCGATTCGTAGCGAACCTATCGCCTATGGATGCGATAATAATGCTGCTACACTTTGTACCTTTCTATTTATAACTTATCGGATCTCGTCCTTAAAACTTTCCATATCTAACATCCGGGGATACGCGCTAATAACGTTCTCGATAGGAGTCATTTGAATTTTTATGACCTGTAGAAAACAAATGGACACACTTGCACAGATATTTGTTAGAAGACAGGTAATTGTTATTTTCCTTGAATATACATGCTTTTGTTGACACAGCTCATGTTATGAAATTCAAATGCTCGATGTGTTGCCGTAATGTACAATTATTACTCAAAGTTTTGTAAACTTTGCAATAGCTGTTGAGAGATTGATGGAGGAACATCGGCAAATGAGTGCGCAGAAAGCGGTAGGACGAGTTCCGTAGGTACAGTCTCGACCCTGATGTCTCAAATCTCCTGATGCAAATCTGAGCGGTGCGCGATATTAAGTGATCATAGAAGCGCGTTTATACAATCGCAAACATATTACGCGTTTTTACGTATTTAAAATCACATCATAAGATCGACACGTTGAACGTTCATTTGCGGCAAGTTGAATCTTCGTTATATTTTTCACAACGAGCGTCATACATCTCCAAGTCACTTTATTATCAATACCTTTCTTTCTTTTTTCTTTTTTTTTTTATGGTAAGAACTCAATGCGTGTAGTTTACAGGAAGAATTAACGTATCGGAGGAAAAGAAGACTCACCTCCTTATCAGGACAGAATTTTTTCGCCATCTTTTGTACTTTTTGTCAAATAGTTTGCCTTTCGATACAAATTACTCGATACTTCTCGACTTTTATCTCACAACCGTCTCACACGCTCGATATTCGTGCAAAGTCTGCTGCTTGATCGTAGCTTACCCCGCTGATTACAGACGTTTACGTATATACTCGTCCCGGTGTGGAATTCGCTGAACTAGTTTTTTTGCGATGTGATCCTGCGAGAACACTCCTTGTATCAGCACCAATCCGATTAGAATAGCGCGTGTTATCAGCCGCAGAATTCAGAACGATAATATCCAGATTACCTGAAAATTTCATATTTATTTTCCTCAGCCGAAACGTATCTATTTTCTTTCAGTTATTGTTTACATAAAATGACTTGAGTAACCTTTTGGAATACTAGAGAGGTGCACATAATAAGCTGTAAATTAACATTTGATATTTCGCAATTATTCCGTTACTCGTTGAACAAGCTGGTCTCTTTAAAAATCGTCACGTCGCCTTGTGTGTTTTATACAGAATTATTTTACGAATTTAATCAATAAGATCGAGCAAACAGTTTGCTGTCCAACGTCTGGCGTCAGTCTAAATGCTGAGAATACATGGTCTTTGTCAGCTTTGGGTAGTTCTATTTCAAATTTATCTTGCGACACCGACGATTCCCTTATAGCTTTAACTCGACACAATATAACATTTTTGCTATATTATCAATGCTACAATGCTACAAGCGTTGATAACAAGTTTCTTATCTTATCTTGTCGCATTATAAAACGAGCTGAAATCGATCGAAACACAGGAGTATATAGAAGAGGGGAGAGTGTTACGTAGCAAGTATCTTGTACGACTTAGCGATTGCATAGGAAAGTGACGAATTAATAATTAGTATCCTCGCGTTTTCAAAACTTGGACAAATTTGCGCCACGTGCGGAAGGAAGAGAGGGGGAAACAGTGGTTGTCTATCTAGATACCTGTGTGTGGAGACCCCTGTCGCCGGTAGCACACGTGATTCACACCTGCGCAGTCGTACGCAACACACGCGCGGCATCCCGGCACGTTGATGTGTTTGCATAATCGCGGGTAACAGCCGACTCGAGAGCCTATCTTGAAATCAGTCTTGGAAAACGCTCGCTGAACACGCGTGAATTCTTCGAGCGATCGTCGCACACTCCCGATTCGATTCGCCCGGCCCGGACTTCAATCGCGTCGCCTTGCAGACCGTCGTCACACGAGTGTTTTAACGCGGCGTGCGATCGCGCGACCTCGATCAGTAACGGACTGTTGTAGGTCGCGTTTTATTTCCAGCATTGCGCAAGAATGCCTATCACAATGTCCGTCGCTCGTATACCCCCATAGGCCGCGTCGACGATGACGGTTTTACGTAATCGTCACATGAAGTCTCGACGGCACCGGACCCGATCGTCGAGCGATTCATGAGAGAACTCGGCTGAAAGCATGCGGAAATCGCGAGATTGCATCGTGACGCTGCAGCGCGACATGCACTTTGCAAAACGCGGCGTGATTCGCACGTGCGATTCGCTCGCAGTCGACGCGTGTGAACGATGGCGTTCGCGGACGGTCATGTGCTCCGAAACGCTCGCCACGTTGCTTCCTCGCCGACTACGACGACCTCGTCAGGACAGCCATCCTCTGGGCGATGAAACGACCTCGGCGACATCTCGTGGTGCGCAAAACTTGGAGCGACGGTCTTTCTGCAATTTTTGTCGCGAGCGGAAAGCTCGCTGTTGCGATTCCCAGCTGTTGCCGATTGCAGTTGAATTAGTGCCTCATTCGTCATCTTGACAAACGGCAGTCCGCGAGACGCTGACTCGTGGAGAATTTTGCACCGTGGTTGGCATTCTTTCTCTCTCTCTCTCTCTCTCTCTCTCTCTGTCTTTCTCTCTAGGCCGCGAAGTATCGATCCTCCGGTAGTCTCGCTTTCCGTGGGAAACTTAAACAGGCGGGCTGGTCGCTGCTTGTTTCTGTCACGCTGATGCTTCTCTTGCTTCTTCGTTTCTTCGTGGACCGCGACAGAACTTACATTTCTGCACACGACTTCCTTCTGGCAATTTGTTCTCCGTTGAGATGGATTGTCTAAAGAGCTGATCTAACTAGAGCGAAGTCTATCTTGAAAATTAATTGCCAGGGTTTTCTCGTTTCAGACAGAAATCGAAAATGTTAGAATCGGATTAATTATTAGCAATTTATGGACATAAATATCTTGAGCTAACATTCTAAATTCTTTGTGCTTATATAAAATCTCTTATTAGATATTTCCTGCGACTTTCTTCCTCGTCAGAGCTATCGAAAATGGTATCGGCTAACAGTTCAAATGTCATCTGCTACTTCCTTTTTCGGATAAAGTCTTCAAACAGATAACAGTGAGGTTGTGAGAACGCGGATCAAGTCGGGTCGCATCGGTTAGGGAAGCAATTTCTTTCACTAAATGGAGCAAAGAAAAGGAGCAAAGTCAATTGCAACAGTACGTGAAGTTCTGAGAACGTCGTTAAGTATTTACTGACCTAATTTTGATGAGAAGACAAGCAGAAAGTTAAATTCGTTTGAGTCGTCTCTTCCTGGCTTATCAGAAGAAAGAGTGAAAGAGTGAGGAGAGAGGAGAGGAGAGTGTACAGGGAGGGAGAGATGCAACATCGTGGTTTTATTAAAAATTTATTTCATGTCATCAGTATGTTAATCACGGCGCGCAATTATGACTATGATAAAGTTGCGTGATTTTCTTCAGTAAAGACTGAACTTTAGGCCATCAAAGTTACATCAACATTTTTTCCCGGAACGATAACGAATGGTGCCTCCCCCGTTCTATCTCGTGCACTCTCGTGACTTCGGCCAGCAGCCCTTCGCATATCGATCCGTATCGTTACATATTGACTTATAGTATCGACGCGACGACGCGTCGACGTTGTAGAAGTTTGCGCGTTTCCTTATCGTAGGCAAGCTGTGCGGAAATCTAGAAGGAGAAACGTTTTCTGCCGAAGTGGAAACAGCGTTTTCAGCGGCCGTGTTCCAATATCGATCGGTACATCCCGCAATTCCCCCGTGGGATAATTTCTACGATACTAGTTGTAACAGCTGTTAACACACACCGTCGACGAGCGTGATAGTCTCTTATTTTCTGTACACGTTATACCCTTTTGCTGTTTTATCCCTCGTTTTTCTCAAACGCTTGGACATGGTGAAAATCGAGGCAAACCTTTAGATAAACTTACACATGGCACGAAGAACCTTGACGCGTTTCTCCACAGCCTGATTCGAAACGCAGTTTGCTCAAGAGAGACCAAAGTCATTCGTCATGAATAAATCTTCCTAAAGACATATAAACACGCACGAAAAAAGTCTCTTCTCCTCTTACGAATCCTAAATTCTCCGAGAAATCGTTGAAATTTTCGAAACCGTCGAAACAATGATGATGTAGAGCACACACCGTATGACTCGCGTGTCGCTGTCGACAGTGCTAATAGCCATCGCCATTATTTGGGCGATTAACCTCTCGCCGCTAATAGGCTTCTAGGGTGTAACACGTAGTAGATGAATTTACGACGTAAGACTTACACACACACACACACACACACACACACACACACAATTACTCCGATCTGGTACGATGCACGGCAATTTTGACTTTGAATTAACGGAGATCACTTGTGCCCCCTTCCCTCCCGCCGACTGCACGTCCGTCGACGTTTCCGCGCGGCTTAACGAAGGGCTACTCGACGAGAAATAAATTATCAAGCGATTTACAAAGTAGGGAAACTCCTCGGTCTCGTTGATGGCACAAATGATCCGTTGATTTCATCGTATCCGTCCGCTTCAACGATTACGCGTTGTTACACGGCTAGCTTCGTCTCTCTTACATGTCGATCAACATTTAATATTAGCTGGACCTGCCAGCGACATTGAAATTCTCGCGAAAGCATAGATTCGCTTACTTATATATCTGACTTATGTATCTGATCACGCACCGTGCGGTCGACTGATTAATGTCGGCGATCGGCCCGATCGAGCGGGTAACGTTCGCACGTAGAATTGAATTATTTAATTAACGTTCCGTCCAGCCCGACGATCTGAGCTCGCACGATAACGTCCGGCCGAATGAATTAGTTAAATTACGTAACACGTTTCATTAATCAATTAAGCTTGATCGATCGGACTCGAAATATTGCGTACTGCGTACTCGCCTACTGTTCTCCGCTTTACTGTCTCTTGCCGTACACACACACACACACACACACACACACACACACACACACACACACACACACACACACACACACACACACACGGTCTCTCCCGCGCTCTGTAACAAATATAACTCTTCCCTCGCTTCTATCTACGGACAAAAGATCGCGCATGGCGCACAAAAAATCGATATGTATACTCTGCGATCGAAGAGATCGAGTTCGCGCCGCCGCCGCCGACAGATACACACCAACGTGTTATAATTAACATCTATACACTTTGGCCAAATTTGTACATATGCTCTCAAGCGTCCCGTATACATACATATTTACATGCCTGCGAATATACATTAATTTAATTAACATCGAACGCTGCAGGATGTTTCCCTTCTTCTTCTTTCTTTTCCGTCCCCCGTTTTCGTCGAATTCGCGTAGTATTCGGACGATCGACCGTTCCTACACGTCCTCCTTGCAGACGAATTAATTTCGACAGCTCATTTCAACGGGGGGGAGCCGGATCACGCTGTTGTAAATTGCTGTTGTAAATTGCAAGTGCATTTTACCGATGCCGGTTATTATACATAGTCGTTGCGAGGCTGAAAATGACTTTTCCGAGTAGCACCGAGGAGCACCGAAACGCGAATTCAATAGGATCTTATTCGCTTTTATTTAATCTCGGTTCTACGCAAAATATTTATCCGTATCTACTGGTGTTTGCAGCTGCATCGGCCGGCTTTGTCGTGTTCGCCGGTCAAAGCGCGTTTGTTTCCCCTCTCGCGAAAGACCAAAAGTTCACCATTGATGAAATAATTTATTTTCCGTGCGCTCGCGCGTTCTTCTTCCACTCGACTCTGTCTCGTTGAGATTTTGCTTCAGCGATCGAGAGAGAATACTTCATCTTCTTCTGATATTGTGTTAATAATATCGCGCGTCTCGGCGTTTTCACGTCACTCACATACGTCGCTCGCTCGAGAACATCGAGTGCAATTTCGTCAGAAATTCTCTGTCGATCGGCGAGAAGTTGACTGATGTAGGAAAGTCGTTCGTCCGATACTTCGCGGCCCTTTCCTACCTTTCCGCCCTTTCAATTGCGCGAATTTGCCTTTTCCGCTAGGTCCCTCAAGATCCCGAAGTCAAGATAAAATGTCCTAACTGCGGGCGGACAAAGGACCGTTGAAAGCTCTCTCTCTCATCGATAAAGATCGAGAAAGAAGAAAAGATCTCACTCTGCATAATACGCATGTGTACATTATTAAAATTTCTTAAGTCGCTATAATTAACGAAAATTCTGCTACCTACTGATAAGAAGGACTAGCACATACGCGGTCGATTTTTCCCTTCTTTTCTTACGAGAAGCCGGCGTGTAAAATGAAACGATGATGCCCTCGCTCTTAGAGGCGGCTACATTTCACTCGTCGAATCTGACGTACGGTAATTAGCTCGTCCGTGGTCCCCTTCTTGTTAAAGCAAACCGCCTACGCGTATGATGAGGTTCGTTTGTCCACGGCTTCGTTGTATGAGGCTCAATGTTCGATTTGTCGTCGGATTATATTTACCCACGTGACAGACGCTCGCTTCGTATTGACTAGAATAATGCAGAAACTTGTCCGGCTCGCCGCTCGCACGTCGCGAGAAAGATTAATTGTGCGCGATTAATTGTGCGGGGAATTGTTAGAGATGGTCGAGCTGCTGCTGCACGTGCACATCACGCACTGCGGACAAAAGGCTCGAGACAATAACACGAGGCTGAACACGAGGAATATAGTCTCAGTTTGCACTCGTACGTTTAATTTTGGCCGTAATAAGAGAACACTCTCCTGTGTGTGTGTGTGTGTGTGTGTGTGTGTGTGTCTTTCCTGTTTCTTCCTTGGACGACGATGAGTCATAAATTATTCGTGACGACCGCGCGCGCGCTTCGCGCTTAACGTGTTATTGCCCCGAATCTGTGATCCGCTTTCGATCCGCTAAACGCCTAAGCTTGCGTTTAGAGACAAGTGTGTGCGTGGTTCTCTCGAGGATACGGTCGGTACTGTTATTGTCACGAATGAATCTTACTGGAGATCGTTTCGCAAATCTTGTCACAAGATTATGTCACAAAAGCAATCTCGTGGGAGGTGCATCTGCTTAAGAGATTGGGAACTAAAGTGTCGGAGATATCAAACGATACGGTATTGTGCGCCATTCTATTACGAGTTAAATCAATAACCCCGTCGTTACGTCGTTGCAATACCTCTGCTCAATCGTTTCGATTGGATGCTCGAAAGGAGCTTGTTAAGTGAGCGGCGGTATATATTTATATATATATTTCCTTTTTTTCTTCTAGCGACGTGTCTTCCGTTCGAGCGACGGTCGCCGGAGAAGTGATTATCGCGGAACCTCTCGTTAACTAATCCAATTAGCGAAATTAAAGATTTTTAACACACAATCACATGCACATTGTACGCTTCGTTCAAGGACAGATTAAGTACGACGAATGTGTGGGAGGGCGTGTGGGAGTTGTCGTTCTCCCTAACGTTCGGCATTTCAGTGCGGACTCAACTTGGATTTGCTAGACAGCTGCAATTACCAAACAGCTGCAATCAAAGCGGATTTGGATTTACCGTGAAATTACACCGGACAATTCGACCGGACCATTCCCCCCCTCCCCCCCCCCGTTCGAAATGTGCATTACGGTCGATTCTCTTTTCATGATCCCCGACGAGAAAGAAATAATCGTCTCTAGTATCCGTCCGGATTTTTAATTCTCGGATGCCGTCAAATGTTCTCCGCTTCGACAGACAGACCGCATTCTTCACGCGGTATTCGAGGCGCGTTAATTTAAAGCAATCAACGCGCGCGACGTACGAAACGTACATATTTATCGCAGTCGGCATCTTCCGAGACGACTGCGGAATGCCAAATGGAATCTCGCGCGAAGCTTTTCGATTTGGATGTTTGCCTTTGACTGTTCGACTGTTCGATAGTACATTTCTCACAGCCGTACGTTTTCTTTTTTTTTCTCGACCTCCGGATTTAGTAGTTGGCACGCGATCAAGCGAGAAACGTAGGAACTCGCGCTAAGAATCGAATTCGCCGAACCGAAAGTACCCCGAGCGAATGCTCCTGGCGAATGGCTCCCTCGCGCCATTCATTTGCCACGAGATTTAAAAACTAGCGGCGCGATCGTCCCGTTCGTCAGGAGCCGATTGACCGTTCGCGAACGGTCGCCGACAACTTCGAGTTGCGTGCACGCGCCTTGGAAATTGCATGGCAGAAGCGAATCTTTGGGCCGCACACACATACGCATCCGCGCAAACATACACACGCACGCACGCACGCACACACGCACGCACATCTCTGGGCTCTCGAGTACTCATGGAAGAAGTCTTTAGTGGCGCAGGAATGAATTGATACTTTCTGCCGCGTTGTCCGTCGCGAATTGTTGCTCGAACGTCCTTACCTGTCAACATTAGCGATTAGAATTAAAATAGGATCTTCCAATTTCTTCGGATATTTGTGTGATGCAATATTGCTCGTCAATATTGTGTCTAGCCGTGATACCGAGGATTTCATGGTGGATAACTCGATGATTAACGACGGCAGTGGTTGCACGAGGAACGACTTTGTTCTCGAGTTGATATTTTGACGTTCGATGTCGAACCCTGCGAATTCTAATCTAAAATCGAAAGATCAATCGGGAGAATCTCCCGAGACGCGACATTGCACAAGCTGTGCTTCCACCTTTGTATCACATGGATGATTTTCCAAATTTCTTAGTCAACTTTGCCAAATATCTGTCATGAACGAAAAAGTCATGCATAATAATCGTGTATAACCGATATATAATAATAATTTCATTCATTCGGAAATATATTGTCGCGTCTGAGCCTGAGTCCTTTGTCATAAATTTTCAATCTAACGTGACTGACATTGACATTGACATTGACACTCGCGTCGAAACACGACGATTCGATCGGGTGTAAGCGCCTACTTGCTAACACGATATCCGCGAGAGAGAGTCCGATGAGAAATATTTGAAAATCCAGCTAAATTTCGTGACCACTCGATGTGTGAAAATTTTGAGTAACGTGTCGGTGCACGCTCTCCATGTCGCGATATGTTTGTTACTCTTCAACTCGAAGCGTTACAATTCGATTACGGGAAGGTACACAACACCCGACAGAATCAAAACAAGCTGCGAAAAGGTCAAAGCTGTCCAAAGCTGTCAATCGCCAAACGTCGTCGGGCGCTATTGAAAGGCCAAACGATCAAAACAATAAACCCTCTTCAAATACTCCGGACTTTCAAGGCGAAGTTTGACTTACCCTCGCGCATCGTGTACTCGCTCGAGTTGTTACATATGCTTCCAACGTGAGGCTTACCTACCGCGCGAAGCACGCGCGCGGTGTTGGTTGTCATTCTCGCTGACGTTGTGTGCGATCAAAATATTTCACTGGTTCTTATATTTATATATACTGGTTCTTAAAATAATTAGACTCTCTCATTTTCTCATTAGTCGATACGAATCGTCATATTTGCGCGCGTGTCAATCCAAGATCAGTGCCGCAAGTGTGTATTCGGGACGAAGATATTTGGTATTTCAAGTTCAACCAAATATGCAGGATCGACGTAGGAAGAAAACATGTCAACTCCCCTCGAGGAAGAAATTTCCCTCGCTAATCTACTGAAATCGAAATTCACGTTCCATTATCCGTATAACGAAATTACAGACATTTTGATTATATCGTGTATTCGGGACGAAAGTATTTGGTACCTCAAATTCGACAAAGTTTGCAGGAACGTAGAAAGGAGAAATGTCAACTCCCTTCGAAGAAGAAATTTCCCTCGCTAATCTACTGAAATCGAAATTCACGTTCCATTATCCGTATAACGAAATTATATTTTGACTATATCGTGTATTCGGGACGAAAGTATTTGGTACCTCAAATTCGACAAAGTTTGCAGGAACGTAGAAAGGAGAAATGTCAACTCCTTTCGAAGAAGAAATTTCCCTCGCTAATCTACTGAAATCGAAATTCACGTTCCATTATCCGTACAACGAAATTACAGACATTTTGATTATATCGCGTGTGTTAAATCCTTAACCGTCGAATTGCAGCCGTTTCGTGCCATTTCCCGGCACTGGATGTTGCATGAGCGTTTGATTAATTTAATTGATCGAATCAGCTCCCGCTACGCTTTTTCACACGCGCATGTTACACGGGACAACATTTTCGCGCCCGTGTTCGATGCTTTTCGCGCAAAGTGGGCGTTTTTCGCAATAACGAGCTTCTGTTCGCGCGCAATAAATATCCATCGCGCATGTTGTGCAACCGATTGTGCACGTGTCCCTGTCAATACGCGTATATTTACTTGCGACTACGCGGTTCAGCACGCGTTACATAACGGCGTCCCAGCTATGGAAACACTCCAATCTCGTAGCAGACTCGTCGACGTGGCTTGACGTAATAGCAACTTTGCGCCCCAAAAAAAAAGAGAGAGAGGAAAAGGATATAGCGCGCTAGCACGTGCAACCGTATCGATTCGAGTCGGGCGTTCGAAAGATCGATGCCGCCGCGATTTCTCTTTCCTTCTTCTGTTTCTCCGTCCACAGCGTCGGACTTCACGGAATGCGTGAAGTGGAACAAACGAGAGTGCTCTTAAACCGACGATCGGCCGTACGATCGCGGAAGAATGCCAAGTGTACGGCGGAAAAAAGGAGACATTACGCGAAGCGCGCGGTATGAAGTATAATGCTAGGATACCTCGACAGCAATTTGCGGAATATTTCAGATAGATATCCGCGCTCGTGTATTACTCGCGGCTTGTTATTCGCCCGAGATAATAACCCCTTTCTGCCTTTCCTTCTCCCTACGTGAATTCAAATTTATCGCCGGATTATGCGGCCGATTATCATGCGATATTGCAATTGCATCAAGCATGCATCATACGTATTCAACGAACGGAGTCGCGATCGGGGTGGATAAAGCTCCCAGCGAAGCTGCGAGATTAGATCGAGCAACTCTCTCCTCTCTCGCGACGACGAATCGCCATCGACACTGATGCTCTCTCGATTCAACCTCGTCTCGGGAATTTCATGATAACCGTTTCCCCGGCCCTTCGAAAGAGGAAGGTTCGCGCGTTAGGAGGAAGTTTCGGTCGTGACACCTCGGCTGCCGCAAGGATCACGGTGCGGCGGGTCGACGCTACAAGCTCGCCGTGTCCCATCAATTAACCCGTTAAGTTGGAGCATTTGCATCTAATGAAACCGTACGAATATTGCATAGTCGCTCTCGGTAGCCAAGGGAACCAGCTGATCGATATGCGCATGAAGAAACGCACGTGTTAACCGCGAGCTTGCTCGAAGCTGCTTTTGCAGGAAGCTGCGGAACGAGGTGTTAATTGTTTTCAATTATCAGTACAATACAATACCGATCACACGGCGCCGTTGCTGTTGTTGGCGGCCGTTTTCTCCGTGAGGTCGGTGTTGTTGTTCGAATTCGTCCTGCTGTTGTCCGGGTTGTTGGGCTTGACCAAGTCTCTCGGGCCGTCCAGGAAGTAAGTTATCATACTGCCCTTCCCTTTGACCTGGATCTCCCCTCGGCAGGAGAGCGGATATCCTTTGGCGACCAGTATATCGCGCACCTCCTGGGTCACTTGAATCCCGTCCAGCACGCCCGTGGAGTCCATCCTGGACGCCACGTTCACGGCGTTGCCCCAGATGTCGTACTGCGGCTTCCTGGCGCCGATCACGCCGGCGACCACCTGCGCGAGCCCACCACGTGTCGCATTAAGCTCCCCGTCTCCGGCAAACTTTAACGGTTCCGCCGAGATTTTCTCGCCCGCTGCTGCTGGGTCCAGGTGTATGAACCTTGGCTGCGAGCGGAGAGAGACGGAAAGAGAGAAACTTGGAACCGCGAGAGAGAATCCGTCGTTCGAGCCGATTAATTCTGGGACATCGTAAAATCGAACGATCGAGTCGACGAGTTCGACGAGAGAGGTTTAAATTTCGAGACTGGAGATCGAGAGTCACTCTTAGACATGGAAATTAATGTAGAGCACCGCTGCTCTCTCTCTCTCTTGGAAGTTGACTTGGAAGTTGGAATGAAAATTTTCCACGCAATGTTCCTCGAAATTGTCAAATTTTCAAGTTGACTCAAATGGAAGAGAACAATTTCTGAATTCGATCTCGCGATCCAAAATTTTCAAACGTCAAATCGCTTGACGTTGAAATGATTGCGACGTTAAAGCGTCGCTTCGTTCGATCGTTGTCGCTGCGATTGTTCCGAAAATATCTCCGATCTCTTGGATCGTCAAATCTACGGACTATTCGGCGCAGCGTGTGGCCGAAAATATGACTCGCTACTCGCGCTCTTCGACATTACCGGTCCGATGTTGATGCCCACACGCATGCGGAAGTTATTAAAGCTGTGTTCATTGACATAGGCCAGCTGCTCGCGAATCCTCAGGGCGTAATCCGCCATCGCGACTACGTGCTTGAAGTCCCGCATGTCGCAGGTGCTTTTCGTTAAGCCTGAAGAAACAAAGAGAAACAAGAGCGTGATGATCCAGGATGTTCCGCAGTGTGCCCTGCCCCGTGATTCGATTAGCACGACCGTCTCGTCCGGGAAATCGTTAGGAAATCGCGCGAGAGGTCAAGTGAGGGCCGTGAGGGAAGAAACGGATCTGGCCTTGTCCGAGTCGCTGGAGATGAGCGAGACTTCGCCGGAATAAAGAAGAGAATCTCTCTCGACGCGAGTCGGGTTAAAGTCGCGCGGGGGATCACTTTGGGCTCTGAATCGTGTTCGCGCGCAACGCTGCAAATTCGCGGACGATAACTCACCCGACGCAGCCATGTACGTTGCACCCGTGCTCTTGATCTTCTCGATGTACTTGAACTGCTCCTCGGCGAGTAAATCGTCAAAGTCAGCGATGATCTCGTTGAGGAGCCTGAGGCACTCCACGCCCTCGTTGTTCGCCTCGAGCTCGACGTAGAACTCCGAAAAGTTGGGGATCGATGCGAACATTATGCACACGAAGTCGCATTGTTCGTGGTACAGCTCCTGCGAAATGATCGACATTACGTCGGGCTCGAGCCGTCCAAAGGACGGTCCAGCGGAGCGTTCGGATAACAACGGCCGAGATGTAGGATCCTCTTCTCGCGGTAATGCCGAAATCCCGAGATCTGCCGGTGTTTCTCGCTGTTTACTTTAATTATCGCCGAGCTACAGCGACGCGAAGCGAGACCGAATTCTGAACAGTTCGCGCTGGAGTGTACACGTCTCGAGTCCGATTCTCCGTAAATCAAATGCAGAGTCGCATTTATGGGCACGGGTCACGGTAAATTAAGTACGAACTAGTAAATACCGTAGAAGAGCTCGGGTCGCTAAGGACTCTTACAAAGTCGGCGTGTACACAAAGTCATCGAAATTTGGGAACTCCGTCTTCGGAGCTTTATCCGAGTCGAAAACGCGCGCTACAACAGTCAATTAATTTTCGCGCGATTTCCCTCTTCACGCGATTCACCCGAATATCACCGAAATGTGCATTATGCGACATAATTTACGACATAATTAAGACATAACGTCCTCTCGGTTTCAATTAAAAGAGCGGAGCGAGGGGGCAGGGAGGGACAAATTAGAATGCCTCCGTGTCGCTATAACGCTGACACGGGACTCTCGCGAGAAAGTTGAAAGTCAGTTAACTTGATGAAGGGGAACTTCTCTCCGGATGTATATAGCGCGTCCCGGCTCTGTATACATCCACCTTTCAGCCGTAAATTGCTGTTTAATCTACAATCGCTTAGCCTCGCTGGAAGTGTCGGAATGCATCGTGAATTTTCGCGTCTTTATTCGCCCGCGTCTCGAGGACGCTACCTGTTCGTCCTGCGCAACTTTTTCGCGGGCTCGAGGAGAATCGCCTCGCTGCTAAACGACACGTGGCAAGGCTGCCGGCGCGAACGTCGCCGTAGACGACGCCGTTTCATCGCGCTTCGAATCGAGAATTTTCGCGAGGTCGATAACAACACGCGCGCGCGAGCTTCATTTCCGGGACTTTCTGCGAATAGCGCTTACGTCCGAATTGACAGTGGACAGGAAGTGGGCGGCCACGTGCTCCGGAAGTATATTAGCGAGCAATTTCTGGTTGTAGGCCTTCAAGTGCTCCATTTCCTCCTTCTCCTCGGTCGCTTGCAGCTTCCACAGGAAGTCTAATCTGTATTGGCAAATACGGTGCGCATCAATACCTCCCCCTCGTCGACAACCGCTTCGCGATTTCGCGACTTCTCGGGACACGCGACACGTTTTACAAAGCACGCACGCACCAACCGATCTTTTTCACGTAGCGAATCATTCAATATATCGCGATTCATCGGGACATTTTTATTAATACGCAATGCGGCAACTGTAAATTCCATATGATCGACGCGTCCCTCTCCGCGGCAATTAAATTTGCATTCCAAACGTCAACGGATTTGTGAATTTATGAATTTTGCATTAGTACACCAGTTCACACATACACACACACAAATAAATGTCACCCTCCCTCCATCCCTCCCTTTTCCTCTCTGCCTATATTGTTTCCCGTCGCCGCGCCGGTAAACATTAATTCCACGCGAGTATCAGTCGGAAAGAATCGTCAGTACGCGACGTTTGGCTCGCTATAATAGAGACAAAGAGAGAGGGAGGGAGAGAGAGAGAGAGAGAGAGAGAGAGAGAGAGAGAGAGAAACGAAAGGCCTCGTGGGAAATTCCGCGAGAGGCTCTCACGCGGCGGCTTATGACGCGCAACTTGGCGATATACATCCACCGAAGCTGACACGAGCTGCTTAGGTTCGCCGCATTGTTATAGCGAGGCGAGGCGATTGAATGCTCGACCTGTAGGTCGCCTCTGTGTGCTGGGAGTGCGCCACTAGGCAGGCCATGAAGAAAACCACCAGCACGCCCGCCAAGCACTTCCCGGCGGCCTCGCCGTTGTTCTCATTTAGCGCCTGGTAAACGCTGATCCCGAGGTAAAGAGTCACAACGACGCTCAATACCGCCACTTTAAAGACCGACGTTAGGATCTGGTACACCGCGCAGGTCACCATCACCAGCACTATCAGGACCGGGAACAGCTGCAATCAGCGTGTGATAGCGAGGCGTCAATTCTCTCAGAGCTTTCCCGTCAAAGCTCGCCCCATCGGATCGTCATCGCAACTTGTCGCTTTACCTGTTTATCCACATTCAACTTACATCGCAGAACAGGTTGCTGAAGTAGCAGGAGTCCTCAGGAACGTTCGTCATCAAGATGCCCTTCACGCCGGAGTTGTTGTACGGCCATTCCGCGGCGAAACGCGAGGTGTTGTTGTTGCTGGCGCAAGTGTCCTTTTCGAGCGTCATCTGCGAGGAAGAGAGAGAAAAAGAGCGAATCGTCCGGATTATTTCGCCGTTTCAGCGCCATTCGGCCCGACTCCCGCGCTAACCTCAGGGTGCCTCACACACTTGTTCCCTCCTCTTTCTTATCGGCCGAGCCGATCGTATTATTCCGCGGCGGTCAATGATTAATCGCCGTATCGAGGCGCGACGGGGCGATTTATCGCCGAAACTTTCAGCACCGAATTTACGTCGCGCTGGAATTTTAGCGCGACCAGCCCTCCTCCGGCGCGCCACCGACGCGGTATTGGCTGGAGGATTATAAAAAATGAGGAAGATTATGCCGAAAATCGCGCTCGCGGCCTGATTTCGGGGATGATTAATATTTTTTGCTCCTTTTCACGAGAGTAACAAACGAGCCTGCCGTAATAATAAAGCGAGCGCGGCCGACGATTAATCTGAATAGGACGAACGGCTCGCCGGGACTCGGCCATTTTTTCTTGGGCCCTCGTCGATTTGCGTGGCCTCGTCGCTCGAGAAATCACTCACCAGCGGCGACAGCACCGTGACGAACGTCAGGAACACGACGATGCACGCGACGATCTGCGCGACGGTGCGGTTCTCGAAAATCTGCAAGGCTGCACTTCTCACCCATGCCGGCACCCTCTGCAAAAGCGCGCGATTACACCCGCCGCTTCTCTCTCTCTCTCTCTCTCTCTCTCTCTCTCTCTCTCTCTCTCTCTCTCTCTCTCTCTCTCTCTCTCTCTCTCTCTCTCTCTCTCCTTTCCTCAGCTAATTAAATCTAATAAATTCATGAAACGTCCTCCCAAAAGAGAGAGGGTCCTATCATGAGATCGATGGACAAGCCGCGTAAAGGATCGATAATCTCGTCGGTGACCTGGAATCCTGCCACCTGATCAAGGTCAAGAGGAAGTGGCACGTTTCCAAAGAGCCCCGCCATCGATCCGTTGTGGGACATGTTGTATCGCGCGATTTATTCAAATACATCGCGTTGACGGTGTGTAATGTATCGGTGCGCAGGCACCGGATACGACATGGATACGGCGCGAGAGTTCTCTCTCTCTCTCTCTCTCGCGGCGAGAAAGAGAAAAAGGAGAAGGAGGAGAGAAAGACAACAAACGATGCGTTAGCGCGTCCGCGAAACTCACCTCATTCTTCTCCGCTAACAAGACACCATTGACCAAGGCTATCACCAGTATGCTAATTGCGGCGCAGACGTAGAAGTAATCGCTTCTGCAAAAGACGAAAAGAAGCACGTTTAGAGACAAAAAGAGACAGAGAGAGAGAGAGAGAGAGAGAGAGAGAGATGGTCCGTCTTTCTCGCCGGGGAACTCTATCATATTTACGTGATTGTACGCGTCGGGGTCGCGCTACGTCGTTACGTCGCGGGTCGCTTTCGTGAAAGAACTCGTGAGAACATTGAAACACGGAAGAACCGCTCGAGTCGAATAAACCGCGCCAGTCGCGAACGTGCACATTGTTTGGCCGCTTGGCTATGAAAGCCGCGAGAAGTCACCGTGCCGGGATGTATAGAAGTTTGTACAGTTGCGAAGGTATCGTGCTGTTGCAAAAGGTGGGATTTATATTGACACGTGGTGGTATTTACCCGGCGAGGCCGCTGATGGCCATCGCGGCCACGACGACCACGTAGACGAAACCGGAGCACACGAAGTAAGCCGAGAGCATCCTGTCCCTCTCGCGCGAGTACTGCAACAGGTTATTAAAACAATTGCAATGCCGCACATCGGCTCTCCCTTGCAATATCGTACGTGTTCGCCGCATAACGGATATGCCCTTAACCGCGGCTTTTCCGCGACGCGCGTCAGCGTGTTCGCCAGCGTGTAGCTCGCGGCTATCCGCCCGCGACGAGCATGTAGAATTTCATTAAGCTGATCACGACGCGCGATTAAATCACGCGGAAATCGAGAATAATCCAGACGCACGATTAGCGAATTAACCGAAATGAAATTTAAACGGACTTCTATTAGTGCGGATTACCGCTCCGCGAGCGGTCGCGTTTAATTGTATACACGCAGCGTGCGTGTTTCGCCGGTAGTTCAGCGCGTAATCACACAGTCCCCGCTTCGCGTGGAAAACTAAATTCAGCCGGCCGTAAAATCGAGAAAACGGATAATAACTCCAACGACATATCTGACGTGAGGCCGCGCGAGCGCGACGATAAGATCGTTACCCGGGGAAAGGAGAGAGACGAGTTTCTCGCGGTCCGACGCGGAGATTACGCGATGTCGCGCGCGATTGATTTAGGACACTCAGATCCAAGACCTTTTCCTCGACGTCCGGCCTCCGAAACTTCAATATAAAGGGCGTGCAGTGCTCCGCTCGCAATCGATCTATGCTCCTGGCGTCGATCGCTCTCATCAGGTACTCGTTCACCTCGTCCTCGGGATCCTTCTCGCCCTCGGTGCTTTCGCCGAAACCTAATCTACTGAAAGTGTTCGCATGTTTATTCTCGGGACATCGCTCAGTCGCGCTGTCTCCGTCTCGCACCTCGTAGTTGTCGGGAAATTTAGAAGCAGTTCGTACTGCACAACAATCGCGATTCTTCCTCAAGCGTGCTCGAGTGTCTCGCGCGACGAATGTCGGGATCACTCGCGATCCTACGAGAACGGGCTTGGTTGACTTTTACAACTGCGAACTAAATTTGCTCAAGTGCCTCTATCCTGCGACCCACGTTACTCGTACGAAGGATCAAAATACCCCAAAATTTCAATTAACGAAACATCGAAACGCCAATTAGTCGGAATTAGTATTAGTATTGGATCGGCATATCCTTGAATTACGCTAACTCACCGTTCCGCCGCTCGCTAACCGCGCGATTCCTGCTCAATAGCCCGGTGAGGGAAATTTTACTCAAACAACGAGGAATCGCACCGAAATCAATCGCGCCGTAACGTGTCGACGAGTCAAGCGACGATAATAACAAAGAGAGCTCTTACTTAGACTGTTTCCCGTGTTGCGAGCCGTGACCCATGACCCTCATCTCTTTGGACACATTTCCATTCGCCGGGAAGCCCTTCCGCATCGCGGAAGTTGTTATGTTATCCTTGAAAGTGTCCCCCGGGACAATTAGGTAGGTCCTGATATTATGATCCTTCAGGTATGCGTTCCTCTCACCCCCGCGGCCCTCCTCGACCTCGTAATATCCGCCCAGGCAGTCTAAGGTTTCTTTTGTGATGTGTACGCGCCTGCGAAATATCATACCGTTCGTCTAATATTAGCATTGTTGGCACACTAACTCCGTCGTACATCGTAACGTGAAGAAGATTGCCTCTTAACGAGAATGGCAAATTTGTCGTCCGCCAGCGTAATTCGCGGCGGCGCGTAGCCGCCCGCTCTTATTATTCAGAATCGAATTTCACGAGAACCGGAGGAATATCGCGACGCGAGCGGCTCGTCGCGTCGTGAATAGAGAAGGCATAACCACGTGCAATTTATCGCCATCAATCAGGGCCGACTTAAAGGGAGCGATGTTCGCGGAGGGTTGACAAACCTCGAACAAAATTGCCCGCTGTACTCACCCGGGTATCCCTCCGCTTTCCATGTAATTGGCTAGGGTCACGTCGTTACTCCAAACATCGAATTGCCATTTCCTCAGTCCTAGAACCCCGCAGTGAACTCGGCCGGTGTGAATACCTACTCTCATATTCACGTTTACGGCCATTACTTCGCGAACCAATCTACGGGGATACAAACACGAGGATTTATTGTCCCTCCGCCCATCTACCGTCGGCCGAGAGGCCGAGAGAGGCGGACAGACGGATAACTGTCGCGAAATTCGCGCGTCACGGCTGAAACTTTTTTTTTTGTTGCCGTTTCAAGTGCGTTTGCGGCCGATCAAAGTGCTCCCGGCGCTCAAAGTCGCGCCAATTGAAAAACTCGCAGGGCAATCTCGCCGTTCTCGCTATCAGATCGAATCAAAGGAGTGAAAAGCGAGCGCTTCCGATTTTTTCCCGACTTTCGATGAAATCGAGCCTCGCAGCTCATAGCTGCCGGTCGCGTCCTTTGGCCTTTACATCTCTCTCTCTCTCTCTCTCTCTCTCCCCCTCCCTCCCTCTCTCTCTCTCTCTCTCTTACCGTACATGCGAGAAAATACTTGGACCGAATAATCTCTCATATTCCTGCACTCCAACTTTACTCAATTCTACAACCATATTACACACCGCACCAATTAATTTATAGTCTGTCCGAATACCTGTCTCAAACTTTACGATATGAAAATGGATATTACATGTAAAGTAGCTCGCCATATTACCTTGGAATGTTTCAAGCAACACGAGTATATCCTCCGCCGGGCGAGTTATATTATATTAATAATATGATAATGTTTCTCAGAATATGAATGTTAATGTCCTCCGGAAGAATTATCCCCGTATTATACTTGGCTCTCGCATGTTTTATCGCGCGAATATGTGAGATTAAGATTGGAATTTCAGCGCGTGCTCGAAGAATTGTATCCGTGTGCTGTGACCTGTGGGTCACTTCATGATGACGTGTATCGACCTCAATCGCGAGCACGTATGTATCACATACATCTTCTCTCTCTCTCTCTCTCTCTCTCTCTCTCTCTCTCTCTCTCTCTTTCTGTGAGGAAATCTCCCCTTTGACGATGAAACACGTTTAATGAAAACACGAACTAAACGAACGAGAGACATGTCGTCGTGAATATAGTTCTTCGTCGGAAGTCCTGCGGCCCCGTCGTCTCGTCGAGCCGAAGTCCTTATCGTACAGATGTTGCTTTGATCCGCCTTCTGGTCCGTCTTTCTTCGCGCACTCTTTGAAATTTTATTCTCGCAAGTATCCCCTGTTGCGCTCGCTTCGTCTCCTTTGTTTGATTTGACGCGATACATGCGAATTGTCGCAGACAGAAAATGCGAGAGACAGAGAGAGAGAGAAAGAGAGAGAGAGAGAGAAAGATTGAATTTCTCCCGTTACCTCATTATTTCACACGTCGATCTTCCGAACGCAAACTCACTCACAGTGATCTGTCATGCTCGCCCTCGCCCCCGGCTGTTATTGCGTGTCGTTCTTAACAAGCGGCGCGACACAATAACGGACGCTATTCTTCGGCGATGCCGATAAAGCGGTAACGAAGTTATCGCGTGCGAGGGGTGCGGACTTACGTTATCGCATCGATCATATCCAATCCCATCTCTACGCAACAGTAAGCGTGATCGGGCCGCGGATCCGGCAGTCCGGAAACGCAATAATAGCAGTCTCCGAGGAGCTTTATCCTGAGGCAGTGGTGCTCAGCGGCTAGCCTGTCAAACCTGTGGGATATTTCACAAGAACTTGACGTAACGTTCTGTTCGAGCGAACATCCCGACTAGAAATTTTGATCAGGTTCACCTAACATTGATAAGGATCTAATAGAGTGAATGAAAGGTAATCCTAAGTCAGTCCTTATAATGTCCTAATGACAAGTGAGTAAGGAAGACCTTTAAAAGGTTATAATGATTGAATCCACATTAGAACCTTAATGTACCAACTTAGTGTATGATATAATATGGTTCAGTTAATCAGTTCCTTGTCGGGATCTTATTCATTGTACCTAATATGATTTGCATCATCAAGTTTTAACAAAACAATTTTTGAGTGTCATTTCCAAATATAAAAATGTTTGCATTGAAAAAACATTTCAGATCGCTTGAATATATTTGTAAAATGCTAGAAACTATCCTTTTTTTAGCAGTCAATAAATAGTTGTAAAATTAACGTGACATGCAACTTTTCTCTTTAACACTACTTTATGACTTGTCACCTTGTGATACTTTATGATCTTATGATATTCATTTTAAGTTCCTTCTCCGAAACATTTTACAAGTATGCTCGAGCGATCTAAAATATTATTTCATGCAAATATCTTTTTATTTGGAAATGAGATGAAAGAATTCTCAGCGTGTCATTTCTTATTTCCAATCTCATCATCCAATATAGCCGTGGCGAGTAATCAGGAGCCATAATTTGAAAAAAAAAAACGTAATAAGGATTCCATAAGGTAACTCAATAAGGACCTGACTGTGAATCCTTACTAAGGTCCTAATATCCACGCTGCGTTACATGACTTACTAGGACCCGATGGTATTACCTTATTGGGACCTGATGTCCAAATGAGGTTAACCTGATCAGGACCATGGGATAAATTTCTAGTCGGGATAATGACGACGAAGAGATCCGACCGCGCTGAAACTATCACGGTACATCCGCGGCTCGCGAGACGAGGAGAGATCGCGGTATCCGCCGAAATATACCGCGTGATTCTTTCCTCGAAGAGTTGAATCCCGCCTTCGGATGCGAGTCGCTTTCGTAATGACGCGAGGAGGATATCTTCCGTGCCGTTCGCGCCGATTACGCGTTCCGCAATGTGCTTTTGTATCTTTTAGGATCTCTTTTTCCTTCGACATCCATCTTGCGATCTGCGCTCGCGTGAAATTCCCGCACGAATTTCGGGGATTATCATCTAACGCGCGACATATCGTATCGCTGTTTCTGCTTTGTCTGTGCCGCGTTTACATTTCTCGCATCGACACCTCGGCGCTAATGCGTGATCGAGTGGGCTTACACGGGGGGGAGGAGGAGTGGTAAATACGGTGGCCGCGTCGAGTTAATTGAAGACGACAGAGACGTGGCGCGTCAACAAAAGCAAAGACACCGGCAACCGGGGCGATAATCGGTTTACCCGAATTAGATATTCAGCAACGCGCCGCGCTACGTGCGAGGCGCGTATTACGCGAAATTAATTCAGTCCGCCAGAAGGGCGATATTAATATTTCACGCGCGGCAAATCCACGTAACATACACGGCGCGTGTTATATATTAAACTAGTTTAGCGTGATACACACGCAAAATAACGCTTCCGATGGAGCTACACCTATACCGGCACTACAAACTGAACGCGGTTAATTAGATTGCTTATTAGAGTATTATCGCTAAGTCTCAGCTAAATCGGTAATGATTTTCGGGAGGTGGGCCTCCTTTATTATTAATGCTGCGATATTATTGCATGCGCAATATCCTTCGTCGCTCGTGTGTACAAATACGCGAAAATGCGCGCCCGGCACGTTTATCCCATATTAGAGAATATCGATAAATGATAAGTTCGTTAACCCGATTCTCCATCTCCCTCTCCCTCCTCCCCCCCTCTCTCTCTCTCTCTCTCTATCTATCTATCTATCCCTCACGCTCTCTCGTTAGGTACAATACGGGAGTCACATGATGCGCCACGAGCTTTAATCATTTTTCGATAATACCCCAATCGAAGAAACAGCATCTTATGTTATATTTCTCGCGGAAATTGCTTCCGCGTTATTTATACATTAAGCTTCCGCGCGTCTCATCTCCCGTGTCGAACGCGGTTTCTCGCAGGGACATATCCGCGTTCCTTTTTCTCTTTTCTTCCTGCAGCGACGGGAAAGTGTGGCGTTCGCGAAATCCCTGTGAGCGATCCCGGCTATATCGATGTGAAAGCGGACATCGTCGTGAGGAGCGAAAGCCGCATGTGCGGTCTTTTAGCGAATCCCCTTTGGCAGTAGGATAAGTAGACGCTATTGAGCCGAAAAGTTAGCGAAGACGCGAAATCTAAAGCTACCGAAGCCCTCTTCGAAGGTGTTCGAGGGACACGGAGAGTACGGTTCGGTTGTAGGTAAGACTCGGAGGGACATACGACACGTGGAAAAATTCAACGTGAACAGCCGATAGCAATTGCCGAGAGAGAGAGAGAGAGAAAGAGAGAGAGAGAGAGAGAGAGAGACACTGCTTGTATATATTAACCGAGAATATATAATTTAACATTCGTAAAATATATCTCCGTAACGTGTTCACAGCGCATTCGCAAAACACAATCTGATATTAATGCGAACGCGATTTGATATTAATTAATGCGGGTGTAATTTAATATCGCGCTTACTAATTGAATATTCCAACGTTTCGCGAGAACTTTGATTCACATTTATTGGCATTCGCGAGCGCTCTCAGCGGATATTCGGTCGCACTTGCGACTGGAATTATCATGTTAAAGCGACGTTAGGATCGCTCCGCTAAAAATGTTTGGAGAAACGAACTTTTGCAGCCTCTCTCGAGTGCGTCTTGAAAAGTATGACGAATCTTGACGCACAAAGCCTGCGCGATCTGCAATCCAGATTTCACGGCCCGGCGTAAGAGACGGTCGAATCAAAGGAACGTTCACGACGACGTTACGTGAGCCAATTTAGAGATTACAATAACAAGAGACGCGCGTACTTCGCGAAGAGCGCCGAGGGCGAAGTGATATATTCGGTGAAACGCGGCTCGATGCGGCCGCGATACGTCGAAAGGGATTTGCATCTTGCCGGCTTCAAAGAGGATTCCATAAATCGGAAACAAGAATGTTTATCAGGACCGAGGGAATCGACGTTGCCGAGTTTGCGCGGTGAGATGCGGTCGAGAGAACTCGAGAGAACCAGAAGAGAGGCTGGAAAGAAATTGACGTTTCGACGATCGAGTCGAAACAGCTGGAGATAACCGCGCTCGGAAACGTGAGGATCCGCTAAACCTCGCTTAAACGTCGTCGAGCACTTCGCAAGGACGACGGGGTGAGATTCGCGATAGAATTTCTCGCGGCGCGTTACTTGGCGCGTATCGCGCGAGCGCGCCGAATTGATTAGCGAGGTCCCCTTGGGCGACGTAGAGGTCGCTGAAAATCCGCCGCGTTTCTTACCGTGCAAACAGTTCGTTGAGCAACCTGACGAGCTCTTCGGCAGTGCATTGGTCGGAGAGCGAGGTGAATCCGCAGATGTCGGCGAACAGAATGCTGAAATACATCACGTCAGGCGATTACGTTGCGAGCCCGTTTGTCTGGCAGCAACGAGTCTGGCGGACTCGTTCGTACGAGCAAACGCGGCAGGTTTGAAGGCAAATCTGCACTGCGCGCTGATAATTCGCGTCCTAAACGTCAACACGCCGCGCGCAAACGTCGCGTCGGTTCGAATGCGCGATGACGAAAAATCAAGCCGGAAACTCATTAAAGTTGAACGACATTTGCTCTTTGCGAGTTCACCGAGCTCCAGCTAAATTGACCCGGGCTTGGTTAGGTGCCAGGTATGGAAGTTCGAATGTTGCGTCTCGGCTTCAAACTTGAAGCGCGAATCTAGAATTCTCTCTCTGTATGCAACCGCGCATATTTACGCCGGCGGGTCTACTACGGCGGCGTGATAAATTGCCGAGTCCCAAATTATCTGACACGAGTGCGTAATTAAGCGATTACGCGTGTCACCGTGATGCATACACGATGCACGATAATGTGGCCCGTAATAATTACGCGGCAGCAACAATAACGTCGCGGCGACATGCGACAGCGCAAATTCGCGTGCGAAATGCGCGGCGCGGCTTCGAAGGCATGTCTCGCGACTTTCGGCCGAGACTTGCGTGTGACTTGCGTGAGAATGATCGACTTCAGCCGTGAGCGCGAATTCGAGGCGACGGACGTGCGCGAGGAACACACGACGCGAAGTAGTCGCGAAAGTCCGCCGCGAAGCAGCAGGGAGACGTAACTAGGCCTCATTTGCAAAATGTCGAAGGAGCGTTTTTGAAGTGGCACTCGGATGCCTCGTAAGCCGCGCGTCTCGAGCACCCAAGGCGACTTCCAAAAGGAAAGAAAGAAAAAACAAAAAGAGAAGACACGAGAAAGATCGACGAGCGAGCTGCACCTGACGTTCTCGTGTCTCTGGATATAAATCTTGTGGAACATGGTGTCCTTCGGTTTCCCGGCGATGTCCGCTTTCATTTCCATGGCGACGTGTCTCGGCAACACGCTGAGCAGCAGCCGCTCCTGCAAAGCGCGTAATTAGTGACATTAGCGCGAGCGGTGTCTCGCGCGGAATATTCGCATTCAGCTTCATTTCGAACGAGCGAGCGGCCGGGGCGCGGGGCCTCTCGTCGTCCTTGTCCTGCGGGGAATTCCACGAGGACCGCATAATGGACAGACCGGCGATATATCGGGAACGCGCGGCTTAATGCACAATCATAAGCGGCAAGATGCATTACTCAAATAACCGCGCGCTGGAGCTTGTAGGAGCGCGTACACGCCAGCTCCGATCTTCGAATTCGCTTGTTGACCCTTTGCGGACGAGTACTCTCTCTCTCTCTCTCTCTCTCTCTCTCTCTCTCTCTCTCTCTCTCTCTCTCTCTCTCTCTCTCTCTCTCTCTCTCTCTCTCTCTCTCTCTCTCGACTCTGATTCCCGACGGATCGAGCATATCTTCTACATAAATCAAAATTATACATTAAGGACTTGAATATTACTAGTGATACCGGACAGTCTTTTCGTATTTCAAAGCCTTCAATTTCCGTGGTTATACACTGAGAGACAAGTATATGATATTTGGAGCTATAATGATATAGTAACTAAATTATAGTCCGGAACATCATATTTATAGCAAGTATTACCATAATATCGGTAATAATTACGATATAGGCACAGTATAACCAACCATATAATATTTTTACTGAGAATTGTAGTAAGTTAAACTAAAATTATTGTATGGATACAAATATAAAATGGTAGGTAAAGTAACTCTTTTATATAATCAATATTACCAGAATATTTGCCAAATGATGACAGATGTAACTATATGAATATTAAATCTCACTATATTTGTAAATGAGAAATTACCATATATGTGGTGAAAGTAACTAAACAATTATTACTTAAGATACAATTATTGACTATATATTTGTGTTTATTCTATTATATCTTGCAGGTTCCACGAACTATAAAAATATGGTTGACGCCAAAATGAACTATAAAATATAATGAGATTATAGTTGAATTAACTATATTTTTCTATCAGTGTAGTGCTGAATTTCTTAATTTTCTTAAAAATTCTTAATTGCTTAATTAAGTTCTTAATTTTAACCCAGAATTAATTTAAATTCCAGCTTGGTTAACATTTCTTTCTTTCTTTCTTGCGTACGTCAACTTTCATTGACTTTCGAACTTTTCCTGAAAAACGACAGCGTTTGAACCAACTGATGAACGGACAAGCGAAAAGACTTTCCGATATCCCTGATACAACAAAGAAAAATATACATATTGTTTTATGAAAATTTTATCGATAACAAATGAACATGGTATATATTAGAATATATAATGCACCGATAACGAGCGAGCAGAAGACACGGTTGATCAAGCCCCCCGTATTGGCGTCTCTCGCTTGTTTACCGCCGCAACAGCTGCAGCGTTCGACCTGAGAAGCAAAGTCGTGACGCCCCCGCGCCGTAGCTGCGACACTCGTCCGCAAAGGGTTATTCCATCGACAGCAATAACGTCCGCGAGGCTCTGGCCGGAAACTCCGACCGAGAGGAGCATTGGGACCGCTCCGTGAGGCGGAAGCTCGCTCTCTTCCGCCGAGAGCCAATAATCTCCGCGATCATCGCAGACCCGAGCGTGCGTTATTTTCACAAGCGTGCGATTGGCTGAAGAAGCTTTCTTTGCTGTTCATGAATCACGTATAGTTCGACGCGACTCGACAACGCGTCGAGTGACCAGTCTAGACGCACGTCTAACGACGTGATTCGTCAAGCGACGACGAAACTTCAGTCGAGCTGACATGCTGACGCGCTGGTGAGAATAACACTCGCGAAGGTATCTCGAATTCGCTGTCGATGTCCGACCGTCACATGTACGTCGTATGTGCGTATCGGAGCACCACATGGTCTTGGTCGCACGCACCGGCAACAAGCGTCTTCAGCGTCCCGTCAGCGTCGTGGGAACCGCTCAAGTGCGCAGAAAGGCGACGACGAAGTGCGCTCGACAGCTTTACGTCAATGGTCGATACACGCGCCTGGTTGTTACCACGTTTGTACAATCTGCAGCGCGACGTACAAGCTCGCGTCTGTTTTACGTAGCGAGGGGGAGTCAAGAAGAGAGAGAGAGGGGAGGGCAGAGAGAGAAAGAGAGAGAGAGAAAATAGACCACGTTTTCTTGCACGTGTGCCCGCCTGTCTAACGATTCGCCCGCGATAGCGTCAACCCGACGTATCACTCATATTTATCGCTGCTTTCCGCAAAGTTGCGGCAGCTTCGTCGTTCGATCCCCGCGCGAACTCGGCCGGCTCCTGATTGTCCGGGGGTTGCAGCGGGAGGAGGATGTCGACTGCGACGTGCGTGTACATCGTCGTTAAATGCGTGCGCACGTCGTGCGACGTCAGCGTCATTACGCGGCAATGAGGCGACCAGCGTGTAGACAGCGTGGGCGTTCGACATGCGGGCGTGAGAGAACACAATAGTCGATGGATATCGCGCGAGCGGTCACGGATTCCCTGATTAATAGCGTGGAGCACCTCGTCGGGCGTCGTAACGACGCCGGAGTTACGAGCGATGCGCGATAAGGCGCGATAAGGCGCTGTATCGCCGATGGATTTTCTAGCGGCTGGCTCACGACGATCACGCCGTTCGCGCGCGCCAAGGGCGAGGCGGAATGCACGATTGGAAAATCGCGAGCGCAATTCGCGATTCACGACGGCGACGTTTCATGCTCGTCGGTCGCGCTCGTGTACGCCGCGTGTACGCGTGTAATCAAAAACGCGAGACAGCGTGCTTGAGCGGGTAGGCGCTAAAGCGCACGCCGGTGTGATAAAGTAAATAATGACGCGAGATAAAACGTGCGACTGAAAAGCGAGATGCAAACGGGTAAATAAGAAATCAAATCACGAGTGTTTGCCTGGCGTTGTGGGAAGCGTTATGGCAGAATTAAAAACGAAACTGATGTTACATCCACGTAACTTTTCAGATTCAATCAGTCAAGAATTATGTTCGGAAACATGACTGTGAATCGATAAGAGAACGGGAGAATGAAGTGACAGATGACAATTGACAATTGACGATATTGATTATTGATTATTACTCCTGTGTCGTGAGGAACGTCTTTAGCCTGCTACTAAAAAGGTGGTGAGAACTCGCGCGGGAGTATCTCACCACCTGCTTATAAAAGGCGGCACGATTTATTTCACGGATTCAGACACGATTTCTTACACACACAGATTCGAACATCTTTTTTACACACACATTTTTAACGTTTTGGTCAATTATTACGATACATTGCGACAATCCTTTACGAAACGATATTCTTAATTGTTTACTTGAGGTGAAAAGACTCTCAACTGTAATAGGTAGAGATTAAAGATTCGGTATTTAAATATTCGTCTCTTCAAATAAAAATCCTAAAGATTCTGTTTCATTCCGGTCAAATATCATTCACACAGACTTGTCCGTCCCGAGGTAAATTAGTTAAATCTATTGACCTGGAAAAGGACAAACACATAAACACTGTCACGATCGCGACGTGACACTGAATTCGTGCGCCGTGCCGTGATAATGCATAATGACGAGGCCGAAGTTCAGAAATATGTTCCAGAAGTACGAGGATTTTTATTTGTCCCCGCTCCTCGCAAAACGCACGCACATTTTATGTCTTCCTTCTCTCTATTTTCTTTTTTATATATATTTTCTCTATTTTTTTCTCTTTTTTTCTTTTTTGCAGGAGTTTATGCAGAGGGGAATAGCTCGGCAATGCGAAACGGTCCGTAAAAATACACCCGGACAAATAGTTGACGAACGATCGACGCGTTGTATTTTATTAAAGCGCACAGTTTCCCCGGCAAACAGTACGTCCATTATTTTTCGACACGTGTTGGATAACACGTCCGCGCGGAACAAATTCAGCGGGGCTTCATCCCGAAACGCGCGCTTTTTTTCATCGCGCGCATATTGTTTTAATGCGCGCGACACAAAAGTTCTATTATAACAACAATGAAGCGGCGAACGTCGATGTGACCGACGCAGCGAAACAATAATTATACCGCAACACACCGCTCAACCACGCGCTCCCGCGTGGTGGAGTGAAATTTTCGCGGAAAGTACGCGCGCGGATTGTTAACGAGCGCGCCGGCATTGTTCGCGACGTGGATCGAACAAAGTACTATTCAAAGAACAGTTACATATTTGATTCCGCGCGTTAGCGCGTTCATTAAGCTTTTGCTACTCTCTTCAGCTCCCTCTCCTCCCCCCCCCCCTCTCTCTCTCTCTCTCTCTCTCTCTCTCTCTCTCTCGCTCGCTCGCTCCCTTTCCGCACTGTAAACACCAGTGCGAAATTACCCGCCGTCATTTCATTCGCCGGGCCGGATCGGCTACAATTAGCCTGGTGGAATTTGCGCAAATTTAGACGCCCCGACTTTTGCGCGAGATGATCAATGGAGTCGCGCAAACGACAAAGCGACGTTAATTACTCCAACGACTGCCGCGCCTCGAGCGGGGATCGATCGACGGACGATTAACGATCGTCTGTCGCGGCGTCGCACAGATGACATTCTTTGGTTGAAAATTCTCTAGAGACCTGAATTTCCAATCGATCATCGACACCAATGGATGAGGTTGATCCTGAATAAATTCCGAAGAGATCTTGCCAAAATTAAAAAGAAAATTTTTCTCGAATCTCTAAGTACTGTTGAAATCTCGAATTACTAGCCCCAAAAGAGGAAACATTTTCTCGTTAAACGCGAGATACTTGTGAAATACTCATTATTCGACACTTATTTCTATCTAATAGCGTATTCAGCGGATTGACACTATTGAAATGAAACCAATCAACAGACACCTCGAGATTTATCGATCTTGAACCAGAAATCCATTAACCCAAAACTCATATGCCCAAAATACAAAACCATGAGATATAGACCCGTTAAGCGCAAAACCGAGGGATTTTAATCCTTAATTCTTTCTTAATGTGGGCTGAGATGATGAGCTTAGAAATTCTGAGTTTTCTAAAAAGTGATTATAAGTTCTGGGGTCTCGCATTTAGTATCCATAGGCTCGGGCCCAAGACACTGTACTTTAAACGATAAACTTTTAAGACAAACCCTAAACCCATGAACCCTGAACCGATAATTTATTCAAAACTTCGGCTAGACAGATCTCTTTGGAATTGATTCAGGATCGACCTCATTCATTGGTGTCGATGATCGATTGGAAACCGTCAGGTCTCTCGAGAATTTTGAACCAAAAAATGTCATCTGACTGTGTGTCGCTGCGCCGATTAAAGGAATTGTACGCATTGTGGATGCGAAATAAGTCTCGCGTGTGCAGCTTGTGCGACGCTCACTGCTAGATAGGCGCGACCTTCGTCACCAGGTAGGAAAGGTTACGGTGTTCAAGCAGATGTGAGAAATGTCCGCGCGATTCGCGAGAATCACCGCTCGCGGGAGATGCGGAAGAGCGGAAGGAGAGAATTCTCGTAAGCTCGTCCGTCGTAAGCTCGCCGTCCGGATTTTTTGCGAACGCAGCCGCGCGCGCTATACCTGTTGCTGATTCTCCCGCTGTGTGGTGAGACGCGCCTCGACACATTGTCGGGTCTCGAGGAACGCCTGCCTCTGCGCCAGTTCCCGTGGGTGATGTGTCAGCGCGCCGGCCACATTCGTCCCGCCGACCACCACGATCGAACTCAGCAGCTGAAATAGAAATCAAGTTTTACGTTGAGCAGCGCAGGCCGCGACGATTTCCCCTTTGCGTGGAGTTTCACCGGTCTCTCGACGAGCGAAATTAGGTCGCGATCTTGGAGGGACGGATCGGGAGAAAGGCCGACGACGGGCTTGGAAGCCTCGAATTGCTCGCGTCTCGCGCGATCATAAGGACGCAATTGTAACGCGTGTTCGCGGCTGGCGGCGAAAGAGGAACGAGCGGATTAGCCGTGTCACATGGACTTGAAGATCGCGAACGAGGCTCTCCTAAGGAAAGCTTTAATAGCGGATCAGTGGCCGTAAGCCCTGGATCGAATGGGAAGAAGGAACGCGCAGTAGGAAGAGAAAGTTTAAGACTGGATTAGCAAAGTAGGGGTCGAGGGGATTAAAGGGGAAAAGCGCGGCGGGGAGAGTGAACGAGGAATATCTCGAATGTCGAAGGTTGCGGGGAGAAATAGAGGTATAGAGAAGGGGAGAGAGTGAGAGAGAGAGAGAGAGAGACAGAGAGGACGTCAATTCGACTAACGAAAGAGATCAATCTTCACGGAGGAAGCAAGCAATTATGGACATCGATAAGGGTTACACAGCTCGGCTATGAATAAAAGATAATCCGTGACCTTTCGCTCTTCTTTTTTCGACGGTTCATCCCCGACGATTGCAGCGAGATCTCTCGATCTGCAATTATCGCGCATTACGCGCATTTAAAATGCATCCCGTAAGACCGCTCGTCGGCATAACGAGTGCGGGAAGTACGAATAGGAGAAGCATGGGCGATCTCCGCGCGCTCTCTCGATAAATACCTCTCGCGAGGGTTCAGGCACCGATTGACGCCGCCCTTATTTTTAGAACCCAAGAGACCCCACCGACGCGCGCGCACTCTTTCTCTCTCTTTCTCTCCCACTCTCTCTCTTCCTTTCTCGTTACACGATCCAATAAACACAATGTGAAATGAAGGAGGATTAACAGCTGCCCTCGCTTTCTTTTTCATACCTACGCGTCGGGATATGGGTGTTTAAGGGGCGGCTGGCTTTGCAGAGACGAAAATCGATGGCCGGACTCTCAGGGGGGCGGGAGGGATTAAAAGAGAGACCGCGCCGAGACGCGGCGGGAGTCCTTCCGGGAGGGCGGCCGATCGTCCATTGGCGAAACTCGTTTACGTATTTGGTCAATATTTAAATAAGCTCGTGACAATGTTTATGCGGCACACCTGCGGGGCGAGGGAGAGGGAGTAACCTTGCCCCGCCGTCGTACCATCCCCGAAGAAACTCGTTATCGAAGTGTTTTAACAGGCACACCCACACAACGTGAGCACTGCCTCGGGCACTGCCTCGTCGTAAATGACGAAGGCCCTTAAAAAAATGTTGCGTGTCTTGGCTTGGTGGCTGCTCTCTGGCCGCCGTGCCGCCAAGTCTATGATATAATGCGGAAAAATGATAGGATCGCGCGGAGTCTTTGCCTTTCCTCTTCTCTCTTTTAATTTCGGCCTCGTGAGCGCAGGCTTATTTAGATTCAATCAACTTATGCTAATGCCTCGCGCGCGGATGATAAAGACGTGGTAGCCGGAGCCACGTTGCTTAGGAGTAATTGCGCTTTTATCGCACACGGAACGGGGAAGGAGGGGGGGGGGGCGGAGGATATGCAAAGCAAATATGATGGTACGTTTCTCTCGGCTTACGTATCGGATACGTGTCGCGTGGGCGAGTGATCTGGAAATTGAAAATTGTCGCATTTCGCTTTTTTCTTCAAGTTCTTTTTATCCAAGTTTCTCAGATACGTGAATATCGAGCACGTGGATACTTCAAATTGAATACATGAATATTTCAGAGATTTTTCACAAAGTGCTCTCTGTTCGTCTCTCTGCCTTCGTTTTACAGCCTCTGTTCATCTCGCTCGTGTACACGCGTGCGTGATAAGCTCGTGATGTTATATCATTTTATTCCGCCGATGGAGAAGAACTCTCGCGTATCGTGTTCCCGTTGTCGACAGATAACTCGAAAGTTAAAGAGCAGTAAGTGCTGGACGTGAGGAAACTGAACGCAACTTTCCTCGCCATGTTTGCGGGCATTAATTAGTCGCGATACCTCCGACGCGATCACGCGCGACTTTCTGTCGCACGAAATCACGGACCGCTGCGACTCGCCGACGAAACGAAGCGACGTGCGATCCTGCGCGCGCTGTACATTCAAATTTTAATTGCGGATGCTCTTTTGGCGAGCGGAAAAATATATCGGGCCAAAGGGTCGGTCCCGCCGTCAAAGGGACAGCTGCTCATTGAGTTTGCGGAGTTTCGCAGAGATTGTCGTGTACGCGACGACGACGCTGCAGCTACGACGCATCGTACACGCGCACGGCTCCCTCGTCTAATGAAACTCCACGCCGATGGTGGGTTATTATCGGGACACCTTGTACGGCGGCTTGTACCTCGCGCAGCTCTTTGATCTACCTTCATGAAGGTTCGCGGCTACTTGGGGAAAGGGGACCCCCGCGCTCCCGGTCGGTCTGTCTTCCTACGTAGCGGGCTCTCAAAGGGAATATCACCAGATCCTGCGAGGAATCGCTTCACGTAGCCATATAACTTACTTGTAATCTTGGACGGATTTATTCGCAACCACCTGTAGGATCGCCATCCCGGCCGATCTCTTTAAACTTCTTTCTACGAGCCAGGTTTTTTCGTGGGATTTTAGATCCGCAGTTTCTTGAAAATGAGTCAATTACGACGGTCTCTTCCTCTCTTTCTCTCTCTCTCTCTCTCTCTCTCTCTCTCTCTCTCTCTCTCTCTCTCTCTCTCTCTTCCTCGAAAGGGGAGAAAGAAGAAGCGGAAGCGCTCCGGCAGATCGATAGACGTTGCGAAGAATAATATTTGCCTAATGAGACGAGAAGCAGCGCGGAAATCGCGCTCGTCTGACCGCAGTTTTATCGCGGATCGACGTGAACTGCTTCAGCAGAAATAACAGCCAGCGAAGTGATAGCGGCCTTACACGATTCTCACTCAATGTTACACGAAGAGCGCGGTTTAGCCGCGCTAATTTGGAATTACGGCGAGCGATACTTTCCTCCGTGTCAATTAGAATTCCGCCGCGTCAGTAGGCCGGTAGACGAGTAGGGTCGGCTGTTGCGGCCGAGGTTAATTATTTAGAGGGCTAATACAGGCTCCCGGGAGATTCGCGGCCGACCCGCGCGTTACCCCCCTGCGGATCGTTGCGAATTTGAACGGGGAATCCTACAAGGCACTGCTGAATATTACATGCCGGCCAGCCGAGCCGCCCCCGCTTACGTGCCATCGCCGTGTCCAGGGACCCAAGAGAGAAATACGCCCCCTCGGCCGATTTGTCCGTCGTAATAGAGGTCGAATTTCGTAGGAGGATCTCAAAAAGCGCCGAGCGTAGGACGCCTTTCACCACGGATAATCAGTCGCTTGCCTTGCAAACTACACCGAGCGTCTTCTCACGAGTGAGGGAATTGCGTATTACTCGACGAGCGCGGAGCTAAAGCGGCGGCGCACATAGGAACATATTGCCGGCGATGGCGAGACGAATCATTTCAGAGAAAGGATAGAGAGACGTTCATTCAGCGTATCATATCCTGCGTCAAAAAGGCTTGCGAATTCTTCCCCTAATTGGCTGTCTCGATGCGAGCCGTTGCTTCGTTCTCGTTCCCGCACGTTGACATCGCGGAAATCGTGAAATCGTTCTTTAATAATAATTCTATAATAATAATTCTTTAATAATAATTCTATACATGTAATATATCGTATAATAATTTATACCGGGTGTTTCAGACCACTCGGGCCACCCGATTTTTTCGCGACATTTTAGAGAAAAATATTTCAGACAAAAGTTGTAGGGCTTCAAAGGATCTATTTACTGACGCTATGAATTTGACCTTGGGATAACCTTGAAAAGTCCAGTCAAGATCAACATAAAAATCTGAAGTGGATATCCCAATTTTTTATTACATCATTTTTTTTCTAGCAATTAATTTGAACAACTCTTGTCTGAAACATTTTTTTATTTACCTAATATTTTTTGAGATATTTAAGGAAAACTTGATAATTTTTTCAATATTTAACTCACGATATCTCGCAAACTATTTGTCAGAAGAAAAAGTGGTACTAGACTTTTTTGCTCTCATTTAGTCTCAAGAATATATTGTTCTAATGACGTCCTGAATTTGGTTTATTTGATGATTTCGAAATTTCCAAAAATCAGCGAGTTAACAAAAGTCAGGACGCTATTAGAACAATATATTCTTGAGACTAGATAGAGCAAAAGAGTCTAGTACCACTTTTTCTTCCGACAACTAGTTAGCGAGATATCGTAAGTTAAATATTGAAAAAGTTATCAAGTTTTCCTTCAATATCTAGAAAAATATTAGGCAAATGAAAAAATATTTTAGACAAAAGTTGTTCAAATTAATTGGTGGAAAAAGACGGTGTAATAAAAAACCGCGTTTTCCATTTCAGATTTTTATGTTTTATGATCTTGACTGAACTTTTCAAGGTTATCCCAAGGTCAAATTCATAGCGTCAGTAAACACATCCTTTGAAGCCCTACAACTTTGTCTGAAATATTTTTCTCTAAAATGTCGCGTTAACGAAAAAATCGGGTGACCCGGGTGGTCTGAAACACCCGGTATATGATACACATATATTGACGATAATATATATTGCATGCTATTAGAAAATACAATTAAACGCACAATTTGCGGCATTAATACGAAATAGAGGGAACGTTAAATGAATAAATGGAAACACAGAGCGTGCGTCAAGCTCACCTCGCGCCGGCTGAAGGACGAGTGAAACTCAGGCGCTCAATTGCCGAGCGATCACAACAGTCCTTGACGCGAAGGTGAATGTATCGGGAGACGTCGCGCGTGATTCCCGATCTTTTCGACTGAATCAGAGCGTACGTTAAACGCGTCGAATTACTTCGCACACGCGACCGTCGTGTTAGACTCGTCTACTAGGCAGTGTCAGCCTTAAAGTCCTTGAG